CGTCCTCGAAGAGTCATTCCTAAGGCATTAGCGTCATTCACCTGTTTTCTGAGCTTCCCTGACCAGCATGCACACCTCATTCTTCACCAGACTCGTTGCGCTTTCTGCCATTGCCTCACTTGCTGTTGGTCAGCAATGGTCTTCTTCGACGCTCCATTATGCTTATGTTTATTACTGGGTAACGTCTAGCACTCCCCTCTGGTTGTGACCGCAAGGTAACGATTAAAGCTGGAGATACATGTGCCACAATCTCCGCTGCACACAAAGTCTCAACGTATGTGCCATCGTTATCCCTGACATTCATTCAACATTGCACGTATGCCACAGATACCAGCTGATGAAAGTTAACACCGGCGTCATTAACACCGCTTGTGATCTGCATGTCGGAGAAGTAAGAGATGTTTACGTCTGAAGGACGCTTGGACTCATTTGTCATAGGAAATATGCCTTGCAATTAAAGGCCAAGACTGCACTGCCGTCCACGTCGTGAAGTATGGCGACGTATGCAACGCGATCGTCAACGAGGCTGGTATCTCGCTCAGCACATTGTATGCGAACAACCCAAACATAAACGAGGGCTGCACTAACCTATATCCCGACGAGGTATATATAACATGTGGTTTATGGATGCCATTGCTGATGACGAAATTTTAGGTTCTCTGCACTTCGAGCCACATTTACTACTAGATCGTGTGTCCCAAGAATTCGTATTTTAATTGCAGTACACGCAATTCTACACGGAATCCTCAAGTATGTTGCATATAGCCTAAATATCACACATGACCGTTTTTTTTTTTCAAAATCCAAGTAGTTCTCGTGCCAGACTGTGTTTGTAGTAGTGTTCGACACTAGTTTTGCAATACAACCCTCCAGAGACAGTCAAATCGCCACGGAAAATTCTGCAATGCATCATAATTATTCTGCCCTCAGGATGTACTGGATTTCTGGGTCAAGTGCATACCCCGAGGCATGAGAACTGTGTGTCATAACACTCCTCTAATTTAACATTGTCGCGTAGGGCACGTGGGTTTGGACTACCGGCCGTGATCTTGATATTTTTGACTCCTCAGATTTCCATCTTTACTGGGTGTGATTTTTTCAGAATCTCATGGCCTCGTATGGCTTATTGGCACGTGCACGTGGCCTTTGTGACTCTCTTGACTCTGCCCTAATCACTTGACCTATCTTATGGGACATGGTCATAATGCCTTTCAATATAATATCGGAGTGCTGTAATCACTCAGAATTATTACATTGGCTTCGCCCAGACTGAAATGGTATTCATTAATCCTTGCATCAGGTTTACTTCCAGGTAATGCACGCTGCAGCCGTATCACAAACCCTCTCCGGATCGCCTCTTAGTCTCACACTAAGTGGCACCCCGAGTAAGACCCCGGAAACCCCTCGAGGTCACTGCGCTCAACTAGTGTTGCCGCGGTTCCAGCTTTTGTTGGCTTTAGCCGTGGGCGGAGCTGTAATTGTTGAAGGTCAAACGTCATTATCAATAGATAGCACGGACGTTCAATCATGTGCTTACATAATCACGTTCATTGTTGAGACTTCTCGTACGCTAAACACACCTCAGTTGGTTATACACAACTGAGGTGAGATACATTCATTACTTACTACTACAGACACTAACGAGCTACCTAGTTTATCTTCTATAGGTACATATCATACATAGTTGGTTATACACAACTGAGTTTTATCTTCTATAGGTTATGAGCCCTGCGCTCTGAAACTTGGAAGAAAATTTTACATGGAAGCCCACCAATCAAAGTTGCACTATGTCCTTCACTACAAAGTTAGGAGATGAGTTCTTGAAGGTTCCGAAGCTGGATGCTTCAGGAAAAGACTGGCCTTTATGGAAAGGCAGACTCGAACTCTCATTGTCAGCAAGAGGCCTCATGGGGCACCTCACTGGGACGGTATCAAAGCCAACGAATCCGGCTGATGGGAAATCTGCTGGGTGGTCACCATCATCAGCAGACGAGATCAAGGCAGTGCAGACTTATGAGAAGGAGCTCGCAGAATGGCTCGAAAAAGATGCCATGGTCAAACAGCAAATTGCTGTCGTGTTGCTGGACAGCCTATTTGTCAAGCTTCTCTCAAAGCCAACAGCAAAGGACTATTATGACACGCTCAAAGCTCAATTTGAGCAGCAGTCGCTGGTTGTCAGCATCGAGTTGCGGCAAAAGCTGGGGGAGATGAAGCTCAAAGAAAATGGTGATGCCTGGACTCACATTGAGAAGATCACATTGATCTGCAAAGAACTTGCATCAATGGGCAAACCCATATCCAATGAGGACCTATTTAATATCATTTTCACGTCACTACCCCAAAGCTATAATGAGATATTAATGTCTGTTGCATCAAGTATCAAACTCCATCAGAAGACTCTTACCTCCGATGACATAATGGGTCTTATCCTCGACGAGTATGACCAGCTTGCACTACAGGATGGTGGAAAGTCGAAGCAGAAGAACGAGGATGCTGCTTTCCAAGCAGACGGCAAGAGATGGAAAGGCCGAAACTCAAGACCCCCCATTACCTGCCATAATTGTGGCTGGAATGGCCACAAGGAGGATTGCTGGGAAGAGGGTGGTGGCAAGGCTGGTCAGGCACCGAAGAACTGGAAGTCGTGCAGGAAGAAGAACAAGTCTGGGGGCGAAAACTTGAAGTCAGGCCAGAGAGCAAACACGGCTGCCGAGAAGAAAGACGAACCTGATGGTGTCTGGCTTGCAACAGTGGAAGATGCATCACCTGCTAGTGCAGGAGCAGCGACTAGCACCACTGTCAAACTTTATGACAGCAGAGCCTCACAGCATATGTCCCCTTGCCGAGATCGCTTTATTAATTTCAAGTCAATTTCCCCACACCCCATCCAAGCCGCTGACAAACGCACTTTCGAAGCCATAGGCAGGGGTGATCTACCCATTGAACTCCCAAACAGCAAAAGTAAAACTCGTATCCTGTTAACAAATGTTCTATATGCACCATCAATGGGGGTAACACTCATTTCAATCAGCCAACTCACCTCTGCTGGGTACGCAGCACTACTTCCGTGATGAATCTTGCAAGATCTTCGATGCCAATAAGAAGTCATTAGGCGAAGTTCCCAGTTAGAAACGGCTTGTATCGAGTACAGTGCCCACCTACCTCATTCGCGGGGGCCACCAACACACCCAAGATCTTGACCATGGAGGAACTCCACAAGCGTATGGCCCATATAGCACCATCATCCATTCGCGAGATGCTGGTAAAGGGCATGATTGATGGCATCAAGCTAGACCCTGCACACGAGACTATGGGTCAGTGTGAATCATGCGAGTATGCGAAAGCAACATGGAAACCCATCGGGGACTCACGTGAACCAAAACGGCACGAGAACCTCAGTGACGAGGTCCACAGTGACCTGTGGGGTCCCTCTCCTACCCAGACGCAAGGTGGCAAGAACTATTATTGCTCATTCACGGATGACCATACCCACTATACTTCCCTATACCTTCAATCAGCAAAATCGGACACGTTCAGGTCTTATAAGACTTACGAGGCATGGCTGAGGACTCAGCATGGGGCCAATATCAAGCGCTTACGCTCTGACCGTGGTGGAGAGTACCTTAGCGACGAGTTCAGTCAACACCTTTGTGCAAAAGGTACAGAACGAAAACTTACCACTCACGACACACCACAACACAATGGTGTTGCCGAGCAGCTGAACCGGACCCTCATTGAACAAGTCCATGCAGTCCTGCATGCAAGCTGGACTACCGAAATTTCTCTGGGGAGAAGCTATCATGCATGCGGTCTATGTAAAGAACCGCACAGCCACGCGCACATGCTAGACAGCAAGACCCCATATGAGATGCTGTATGGTAAGAAGCCACATCTTGCAGACTTACCTGTCTGGTGCACTCGTGTATGGGTACACGATGACACTCGAATGAAGCTGGATATGAGAGCACAGTGAAGGCCAGTGGGTTGGGTCAGCGAAGCTCACGGCCTGAGGGGGAGGACGAAAACTACAAATGGTAGTCAGCCAGCAACTCCTAACACTGCCCAAACCCCTACCTTGAGCACAGAAGCACCAGCACTCGATCCACTAGGACCAAACTTCGAGCATCAGCCACCTGGCCCTAGACAATCCACTCGTCAGCGGACAGAATCACCATATATGCACAGGTTGCACAGCGGAGAAGGTACTCACAATGGAAGAGATGGCGACCCAATTATCCCTAGAGGCATGCAGAGGGTAGAGGAAGAGAGAGAGGAAGATAGTGGAGGCATGGGAGCATCTGGAGAAGGGTTAGGAAGTGAATTGGGATTTGATGAAGAACCCACCGCTTACGCAATGTTCGCTGGAATGAGCGAGGCTGAAGGCATGGAGCCAAGCACTATTCAAGATGCGAAGACACGATCTGATTGGGCAAACTGGAAAGACGCCTGTCAGTGCGGAACTAAAGAGCCTTGACGAAGCACATACCTGGGACATTCTCCAGTGGCCCAGGAACAAGAATATCATCAGCTGCAAATGGGTCTTCAAGATTAAAAGAAATGCTGCAGGAGAAATCAATAAGTATAAGGCCTGGCTGGTGGCACAAGGCTTCACCCAAGTCTATGGTGTTGATTACTACGAGACTTACGCACCTGTGGCTCGTCTCACATCATTGAGACTGATCCTCGCTGTCGCCGCACGCCAAGATTGGGATGTTGATGTCTTCAATTTCCACAGCGCATTCTTGAACGGCAAGCTGGATGCTGACGAAGAGATCTATATGGAGCTACCACCAGGCACTGACATTGGCGGAAAAGACAAAGTCGCAAAGCTTTGAGTTGCGCTGTACGGATCTAAACAAGGCACATTAAAATGGTACAAACGTCTATGTGGAGAACTCGCCAAACTAGGGTTCAAATGGACGGAAAGTGACTGGGGAGTGTTCACAGCGCACATAGGAGAAGACCTACTCATCCTCGCCTGCACATGTCAACGACTGCACCATAACCGGCAGCTCGAAAGAGCTAATCAAAGCGTTCAAAGTCGAAATTGCATCGCGATTTAAAATAACTGACCTAGGACCTATCAGTTGGTTACTCAGTATGAAAGTCACTCAAAATCGCGAAAGCACATACCTATTTCAGCTGTCCCAAGAGTCCTTCGTCGACGCTATTATCACAAAGTACAATTTCATCAATGCCAAACCCTGCAGTGGTGCCTATGGACCCAAGTATGCAGTACACAAAGGACCAATCCCTCACTACGGCAACACAGATCGCTGAGATGAAGCGAGTCCCTGTTCTGTTCTGTGCTTGGGTCATTGATGTACCTGGCAGTGGGAACACTGCCCAGACATCGCATTCGCAGTTTCAACCCTGGCACAATTCACCGATAACCCTGGCTGGGCACACTGGGAAGGGGTGAAGAGAATATATTGTTATTTGTTGGGCACAAAGAAGTGGGCACTTACCTTCAGAACAACAAAGAGCGGACTCCTTGGCTATGCAGATGCAGACGGTGCCTCCCAAGAACATCGGCAAGCAATTACTGGCTTCACGCTGCTCAGTAGATGGGGGAGCAATACTCTGGGGGTCGAGGAAACAAGAGCTAGTAACGCTCTTGACGGCAGAAGCAGAGTACATAGCAGCAACACATACTGCGAAGGAAATTCTCTGGCTCCAACTGTCTCATCTCTGAGGTCTTTCGTCCACTCGAACACCCAACAACCCTCTACTGCGACAATCAATCAGCCATAGCATTGACGAAGGATAGGATCTTACCATGTGCAGTACCAAACACATTGATATCCATTATCATTTTATTCATTTTTCTGTTGAACAAGGTTCTATTAGTTTTCTCTATTGTCCCACTGATAGTATGGTGGCAGATACACTTACCAAAGTGCTCCCCAACATCAAGGCCAAACATTTCACATCCAAGCTTGGTCTCCATGCCTGCCATTTGAAGGGGAGTGTTGAAGGTCAAACATCGTTATCAATAGATAGCGCGGACGTTCAATCATGTGCTTACATAATCACGTTCATTGTTGAGACTTCTCAGTATGCTAAACACACCTCAGTTGGTTATACACAACTGAGGTGAGATACATTCATTACTTACTACTACAGACACTAACGAGCTACCTAGTTTATCTTCTATAGGTACATATCATACATAGTTGGTTATACACAACTGAGTTTATGTTCTATAGTAATTAGCCAAGCTGTGTACCTAGTTATAGTTTATGTAATATATGGCTCGGTCCGGTCAATGGACCTGTTTTACAGGCTTCAAGCCAGCTCAAGCCAGCTTTCAAATTAGAATATATATTTGCGCTTAATTATGAATACATTGGTAATAATAATACTTAGGGTCAAATGCCCAAAAAGGAAACACTACCATTTGATCCTCGATACTACATAATACATACTCTAAAATCACATCCGATATTGACGATTGTGAATAAGGATGGGTCCCCAAGCCAATGTAAGTGAATCTTCTAATCTGATGTTCAGAAAGCTAAGTCAAATTAGTTGTATTGTAGTCTCAATCACGCTCGTAAGATACAAGCGGAACAAGCAGAGATAAGGAGAATGGGACATAGATCTGTGAAGACGGGGGCAGGAGAACGTGTCGCAGAGACAGGGGCGGGAGAACATAAAAAGGACAAGTGCCAGAACAAGTAAAGGTAGTGGTAAACAAGAAGCAAGAGATCAGAACTGACGAAAATGAGAAAAATTAATGTAATGTGCCATAGATAATAGCAGCATCTTCAATGCTGTCACACTCCTGGATTGCAATAGCACTGAGAAGAGCATCATGTGCAGAACTGTTGCCTGAAACTCCACTGGTGTTAAGTGTGAAAGACCTGTCAGAGTCAGACCCTGTCTCGCATAGCAGCACATATTCCATGTCTCGCTGTGATGCCGCCCATCCTTTGGTAAAGTTAAGTCTCTCCTTTTTGAGGATAAACTTAATGATCTGCAGCGCTTCCATCAGGACTGGGCTGAGGTAATTTCTTTTTTTGGTGTATGTCTCGCTACTCAATGAGAACACCTGCTTGCATGGAACAGCAGATGCCTGTGTCGGGAGGTAGTCCATCACAACAGCATAAATAGTTGGGAACATGCCCTGAGACGCCTGGTTGACACTTCATGGTCAATGACAAAAGTGCAAGAGAAACGCAAGGCTTACCCTCCAAAATGATAGTATATCTGTTCCCTTGGGGCTGTAGGTAGCTGTACTGTAGGCCTCGAACTCCTGATCAACCGTTTGGACACTATCGTGACAATCTGACAGTGTTTCCATATCAGGAAGTCCATAGATGTGTGCACCTAGTGTGCATCGTGGTACTTCAGTAATTGGAGACGGTGCAGAGCCAGAGGTGTTCGTCCCTCTCTTTCCATGCATCTGCAGGATATAAGTTCAGAGTTGTACTGTTACTAGTGAAATAGACATACCAGTTTGATTATGTGCTTCTTGGCATCCTTGGCTCGCTGCTGGCCCCAGTGTTTTTCCATCCATGACATGCACATTGTAGGATCAATGACTATGAGAGGAATGATGAGAGTTAAACTTGATTAAAGTACGCAGGACTGACACATTGCGACAGCATAGGTGTTCGTGGCGCTCATGCGATCATCATACTTGTCCATCCAATCCAACCCTATGTTAACGAAAGGCGCAAGGTGTGGTATTAGGACCAACTCATTCCAGCGCTGCATCATTTTCTCAAAAGTGGGAACTGCACCACTCAGTATGGGAGTGCTTTCGCTGGACATCGTTTGCTGAGCAGCGTGTGGCACCTAATATAAAATGCTAAAACGGATCGTGAGTTTCAAACATGTAAGTACTGACCTCAAAAATCACTTCGAAATCCTGTAGGACAAGCCATTCCATTGGACTCAACTTCTTGTCGATCATGTGGCATTGAAGGGGGGAGTCACAGAATAAATCCATGGCCTAGTTCTCTGTTAGTCCATGTATTTAGTGGGGTGGATGCTTACCTGGCGAAGGGTTCGTAAACGGTTCAGCATGACTGTACTGTGGCTGAGTAAGCTATGGGTCAGACCCAGTAGGGGGTCACCTGGCATTTTTCTCTCCAACCACAGCAGCTATTGACTTACTGTTTTCACCATCGCATAGAGTGTAGTCGAAAGGTTACTGTCCCAGAATTTTGAGCTGAACTGTCAAGAACTTCTCAAGGTTGGCATGAAACAAGTGCTCAAAGTCACGCCCAAAAGTATGATTCCCATGTATCCTAAGCACTGAGACTTTTGACCTCTACTATGCCCTCACCTCCTCCTTCACAAAAAACTGTATATCTGAATCAATTTGAATCTTGTTTGACAAGATCTCCACCAAGAATAATTGCATGAGCTTGTGGGGTGGGTTTGCTAGCACTGACTGACCCACTATACTGGTTTTGAGCGAAATTGAGACCCTCTGGCAAAATATTAATGGACAAACACAACACTTCTCTAAAATTACAAAAACTCGATATTATGATAGCCAGGATCATTTTCTATCGTTCCACACACTCCTTTAAATAAGATAGCCTGAAGTAGTGCTAGAAATCAGAAATCAAGGGTAAGTGACCCATTTCCTATTCAGGCACAGTAGGTTGAATCCCAACGTGTGGGCTTGTCATGTAGCAGTTGCACGACAGGGAGTTGGATGATTGCACCTGAGTCGTCTTGGAACCACTTCTTGTCGTTTCCCATGGTAATGATTACCCTAAAACTATTATGTCGTTTGTCTGATGTGCGGATGGTGCGTATGAGGAGCCTCACCCGATCCAGGGCTTTGCCTTGGATGGCTTCAACATACGTATCTTTGTCGATGGTCTTACCTTCAACTACCCATCTGTCAACCACACCTAAAAATTTGGCTTTCCAGTAGTCATCGAGAACATGCCTCACACAGATGTTGATGATGTGAGGAAAGCACGGGATCCTCTGTTTGACAGGATGAAAATGTACCCCGCGTGATTCCAATAGATGCGATAACTCTTGCATGGAAGTATGATTGTTTCCTGCATTATTGAGAGTGAAATGACCCGACTAAATGAAGTCAGTGCATGTCACATTGAAAAAACTAGATACTTCCTTTATCTGTTACATTGGCACGATCGAGGAGGCCCAGTATGGATGAGCCCAGGCTATCTCCTGCATGACTCCCTGGGGTATGGTGAAAAGCTATTAGTGCTGCCTTTAAGACGAGCACATTAGTCCAATCTTCTTTGGTGATCCAGTGAGCAGTGATCGCCATAAATGGATGGAGATTAGAATCTGACCACAGTCAGAGGTAAACAAGATCTTTCCTTGCGCCTTCTGAAAAAATATATGACACTTCATGGGACTCTCGACAGTAATACACTTACCGCAAGGTCGCTCTTTAAGGCCTCGAAGTAGTCATCGAAAGCGTCAAGGATCAATTCCCACAATTTGGTGCGGTGACAGATGTCAGAATCATTCAACTCCGGTTGCAGAAGACGGATCAGTCGACAAAATTCAGGGCATTCAATGAGATTGATTGCCTGAAGACATTAGTAACAATAGCTTGTAGAAAGTAGTCGGCGACTCACCTGGTCGTCAACAATGATAAACTTGACGAGCTGTCGATGCATTTCATCAATGGTGAAGTCAGGTAATTCATCTTGCAGAGGTCCTAACTGCCTGAGCTGCATGTCATCGTGATCAGAGGGCGAACCAAGTGAATCAATGGTACAAGTCGGATCCTTCTTCAGACATCTATGGATCATCACAAGGGTCCAACCTTCATCAAAAAGATCATTCAAAGACTTGATCTGTATCTGCCATCCATGGCTGCTCTGCCTCTTCTAAGTAAAGGTTGGTGTGACAATTGAAAATGTGCGTTCGATGACCTCCAGAGGCAGTAGAGTTGGCATATGATGTTGCTGGGTATGAGGCATCCTCTTGATTCATTTGCCTGGTGAAGAATGTAAGAAAGAAAAAATGTCTTGCACTGACGCAGACGTGATACTTACTCAGCAAGGTATGCAGATCCTGCAGCTTAGTGACTTTATCTTCCCTAAAAAAGAAAAGAACATTGTCAGAGCTTTTAGGTTTTTTGGCGCAACCACCGGTGGCCAAAGGGTCGGTTGTAGTGGAATGGATGGTGTTGATTGCAGTTTGCAGTGGGCTAGGGCCTGTAGGTGCCCTGACCGTAGGTGTAGGCAAGTTGTCCATTTCTTCGTCTGGAGAGACATACTCGAGGTTGAAAGACTCCCCTTCTTCCACTGTAGGATCTGTGCAACTTGGACCAGCACAAGCTGCATCATTATCTCAATATCTGTGAGGGAGCTGCCGGTCTCAATGTGGGTTTGTAAATCCTGCAACAGCAATGGGGATTATGGTGGCAGGGGCCAAGATGGGAGCAGCAACAATAGCAGTGGGAATGGGTATAGGAGTGGTGACAGCAGCAGTGGGGGGTAGCGACAATTGGAGTGGGAATGGGAGCAGCAGCAACTGACCTTGGGCGCACACCTGGCGAGGTGGCATATTGGTAGTACCGTAGTAGACTAGTAGTAATGAAGACCCAACAACACAATCCCTCTTTATATAAATGGAAAAATATCAATGAGTACTGTAGAAAGTAGTATGGAGTTCTGGACCACTTACTTGTAAAGTTCAAAGGGCTGCTGAGCGAAAGGGTGTAGGTGGCCGTGCAAGGCGAAGAGCCAGAGTCTAGACAGCATGGCAACTCCTGGGTCGTGCCTTCACCCTCATGATTGACCGATCAGTTCATTGAGTGCTGAAACTAGACATAAGGTGTTGTTGATTGGATATTCCCTGCAGGAAATGTGAGTGAAAAATGTTTCTACCTAATACTGATAAAAACTGCGATGCACACAGATTGGCTGACTAGCCATAGCAGATGCCCATGATCAATGTCGAGTGGAATATATGGTGCCCTATTAGCATTCCACAGTAGCTACTGCGGGGTGGGATATAAGTGGACCCCATCAATAATCGATTACATCAGAGGCAAAGACCTCAACCACCACTCAGCGCTCGGTAAGCACTTTTCCTGGTCATTCATACTAAGTCGAAGTTCAACTGCCCCTGCATATAGCTCTCCCAGAACAAGTATGTAGGCAGTAGGTACAAGCAAAGGTGGAAGGTAGAAAAAACTTCTAAGTATCCAGATATCACTGTAGTATTGCCAGGGATGGTCATTGTGCTGAGAGAAGTAGTGGGTGGAGAACATAGCCGCTGATTGATTGAGTGCTGGATGAGCCTGGATTAGTGTTGCCACAAACTGAACCCAATCGAAACAAAGTGGGAGTTCATTCTAGGTTCGATGGGTCGAGGTGAAATGAACCGAAGTGTAACGAATACGGCTCAAGCTCCAGCCAATGAGAAGTGTTGTTAAAGTGAAGTAGATATGAAGTGGCTATGTTTCATTCTACATTATCATCATTGACATTTTGTAATAGATCAGCAAGCTCATTGAACTTCCCCGTAACTATGTATCAATTCCTCTGCAGCCCTTTGTGTCACAAGCCCTGAAATTCGATAGTCATCCTCTTTTGCAATTGATTCCCTAGTGAAACATAGTCTCTCCTGTCTGTAAGAAAACTTGAGAATCTGGAGTGCTTCCAATACTCGTGGTGAGAGTCTTCTTCAATGGAGTGTGCATGTTTCTTTGCTGGATGAAAATACACGTTCACATGGCACAGAGGATGCCTGAGCTGGCAGGACATCCATAGCAACACAGAAAAATAGTGGATAGACTTTTTCCATGTGCTGAAATCGACTTTAGCACCTTCCTTATGTGAAGGAAAAGTTGAGCTCACCTCCCAGAAGCGAATGAGATCAGTCACTGCACTTGCCCTGCATTGAATGTGACTGGTTCATGCTCATAACTGCTCAAGCTCACACAGAGCATCTTGAGGGTAAAATGGTGGATGTGCATGAGCAGTGGACCATGGCAGACTTGTATAGCCTTGGTGAGAGTGATGATGCTGTTGCTCAGATGCCAAAGAGATACTAGTAGCAGAAGCTGCAGAACTGTTCCACTGGTGAAAACTCATGTTTGGTGAATACAATACTAAACTCACAGTACGACACATGAATTTATATGATGACCTAGACACTGGTCGCCTAACCACACTGGAGGATTGTTCAACATTTGTATTGTACAGCATTGCAGGTGCCTGTCCTCTGGCGCTAAAGCAGTACTGTGGTCTGATGAAATACGTATAATCACATTCTAGACCAAAGGTTCGAGGACAGGAAATGGAGGAGCAGAATACATTGAGGAAATGCTAGAGATGTGAGGTTGATGGAGTACTACTCTAACAAATCACCAAGTCACAGGCCAGATTTAGCATTTCATTTGGCAGTTCGTTCCTAATTTGATGCTTATCTACGAGGCATAAACGAATTGAGTTGTATCGAAACTACCTCAATTTCAAACTGAACCCTGAATTACCTCGAGGTCACTTCAGTTCGACAGCAACACTAGCCTGGATCTATATCACATTGCAATAAAGTCAGAAAGAGAACTTAGGGAAGTGACTCATTGGTTTAATGGCAAGTACCTCATGGAGGTTCCATAACTGCGTAATGTTGATTAGAGCGTGGCGGTGGAAGACTCATAATTGGCTAATAATAAATATCCTACAGCCCAGACTAGACGAGACTCGCTGGGGCTGTAGCAACGTGAATACATGCGTTCATTTTATGTACATATACGTACTAGTAGCTGCATGTGTTCCATCAACAGCGTTGGCTACTTTTGCTGCATGGAGTTGAAGTTGGGGCATGTGGTTGGGAGCCGTTATGTGGATGTAAACTTCCAGATAACTTGAGCTTCGGTTCACAAGTGAGATGAAATGGACTACTCACATACAAGTTGATCGGCGAAGAGGTGTTGCCTTCAGTGGATATGGGGGTGTCACCTCGGTCACCCGATATTCATCAGGGATTGCAGGAGTATGTGTGGAAAGATCATCGGGCTTGCCAAAATCGAGCAAGCATGTAGCTGATGCGGGCAATGTGGCATGAAGACCATGCAGTAATGAACAAAGATAGTCATAGTCAGGATCCTCTGAGAATGCAAGAGAGTGCAGAGTAAACGAGAATACTCGCGAACTCGACAGGAATTCCATGACACAAGACTTCAATGGTAGTGTTTACTTTATGCTCGAGTATGGCAGCGCTAGAAAGCTTCTCGTGGCCATCAGATAACCATGGGAGGGAGCCACATAAGAAATATATCAACATATATGTCAGTGATTCGAGATCGTTGCGGCAACCTGGCTCGACTCCTAAGTGGTTGTTGATTGAGGCAAATGCGGGGGTGCTGGTAAGACATCAATCATGGCGAAATGGTATGTGCATTCTAGTTGAAGTGTTGCAGTACTCCTTTGCAATACCAAAGTCGATAATAAAGACAGTGTGCCTCAAATCGTTGAGACCCACCATGACGTTCTGTGGTTTGATATCACCATGGACGTAATTGTGCGAGTGAATGTATTCGAGACGTGAGAGCTGAGTAAAGGTATTAGCCTCTGCAACAACCTGCCACAGACCGACTCACCAGTTGGTCACTGAGATTAATGACAGCATGAAGGCTGAATTTCTGACTGTGTATGAGGAATATATCATGCAGTGATGAACCAAGGAGGTTGAGAGCCAGAGCATGGTACGTCGACTCTCTACCGAACCAAAGTACATGGGGTATGCCAACCCCACCTTCGAGTTGTTTCAAAATGTGGTATTTGCGCTGCAGAGAAGACGAATTATTGACAATGGGTTCCAGTTTGATAGCAACTACATCGTTATTTATGATGTTTCATGCACGGTACATGACAGCTAAGTGAGATCTGTCTGAATCAACATAGTCACCATGTGAATGACATAGTTACATACCATATGAACCAGATCCCAGAACATCTCCCAGTCTAAATCTTCCATCAACTCAAACAGGGACTTTACTCATGGTACACAATCCAATCAACACTGCAATCTTGAGTCCTGGAGCCTGAGGGAACAAGAAAATGTTTTCATACACATTTGCAAGTTGGTTGCAGCTGGCTTAAAATGGCTTAAGCCATTTTAAGCCGGTGTTCATACATTCTTGGTTCATAGCTGGTTTGCATGGCTGACTAACACTTTGAACCAATCTAAAGAGCTTACTGGTGACTTGGCTCACCTGATTGGCCGAACTGCTGGCTATCCAGTAAATGCCGAGCCTGAGTCAGCCATAGCTGAGCCACAGCACAACTACCTCTGGCATCCCTGTTTGCTTCCAAACCCATTTAGAATACCACTTGAACTTACAAAAAAACCCCATCAGATAAACACCACAAGGCCATTATGTCTTTCAGACATAGGAGCATCAGCACTTGGCCAGGACCACCCAGCTCTCACGAAGCATCCCCAACTTATGGTCTCAATACCCATAAAACCAAAAGAACAGCAATCTTGCAAGGTAATATAGAAGCAATGTCCAGCATAGTAAAAGACTCAGCCAGTGGGGGAAAATATCTTGCCTCGACCCTTCTTTGCCACATTGGACAACCTTATACACTGACCCATCTTATTTCAATCCTATTTCAAATCACGCAGATGTCTGGCAACATCCCCCTCCCCGTTGTTACAGCGATCCGAGCAGTCGCTTTTCTCATGAAAGACCATGTGGCATGCGAAGTCGCAAAGTTAGTTGCTAAACAACTCATGGACACCCTCACTCCCTGCCTTGTGGACCATGTCATTGCTGCAATTGCCCCCCAGGTAGCACAAGTACACACCCTCACAGATACCCTCACCACCACACTGGAAAGAGTAGAGGAAACACATAAAATGGTAGAACGGGAAAAAGATGAGAAAGAGAACAATGCACAGGTGGCGGCTGAACGCATCGAAGAGGCTGCAGATGCCCTCTATTCTTCTGTAGAAGACTGCCAGAACATTCTAAAACTGCTCACCCCCTCACTAGAAGCCACCCAGGATCGCATCAATCATCTCTCCACACAGATTGCTACACCACCACCTACGTCTAACATCACCCCTTCCCAACCAACCTACAGCTCAATCACAGCAGCACACCTCCCTCCCACCGTAGATCGAGCAGTAGGTCGAGCGGCCATCCGCACTCGCCAAGTATTACTGGACCCAATGCACGGAGAGACCCTCTTTCCCCCCAACTCCACAAACTCTGAAATCGCTAAGCAGCTGGAAGAAGCCCTCACCAAAGCCCTGAGATGACACCACCCCCCAGGAGGTATACGAGCTGTTCTTACCCTACGCAATGGAGGAATAGTAGTCGAACTAGAATTGGAAAACCTGGCCACCTGGCTGAATAGCCCATCAGGCAGAATGGCAGCTAGCAAGCAACATGGGACCAGCAGTACCATTCCACAATTGTACTTACCCCATTGTAGCAGAATACCTCCCCATTCAATTACAGATCGAAAACAATGGATTCCTCCAACAGGTGGAACTTGAAAACTGCCTACCGCCCGACTCCCTGAGCAGCATCCGATGGATAAAACCCCTGCTTTCGGCGCTCAGCAGAGCAGCGAAAGGCCTTTGCCATCATCCATGTAGCTGACGTCCAAGTGGCCAATGATATCCTCCAAGAAGGTCTCTGTATCAATAATGAATGCGTAGGCAGTTCAAAAGGATAAGAAGGAGCCAATATGTTGCGCGAAATGCCAACAGTTCGGATACATTGTGAAATCTTACTCTGCACCTACAGACATATGCTGTACCTGTAGCAATCAACATCGCACATCCGCATGCAACTCCTTCTGCACCACCAGGTGTGTCAACTGCCACATGTCACAGCCACCAGCACACCAGCTGGAGCTGCTCATGCCCGGAATTCAAAAAGCGATGTAATGAGATCAATGAAAGACACCCTGAGAGCACATGGACCCAAGTCGCCCAACCACCCAGGTCATCCAGATCACCCTCATCGCCATTACCCTCACCCAGACCATCACAAGCCATGCACCCGACCACCCTCCGACAGACCACCATCTCATAATGAACCTCACCCCAACCCAAACTCTCGCCCCCACTCACCTCAATGTCCTCAATCCCCGACCATTCACTCCATTATCGCCTCACTTGGCTCCACTGAAGCAAACTCTACCGACAGCGCCCCCTCCTTAACCCCCCTTAATGTATAATGATGCCCATACTCCCACCGTCAGTCTCAAAATATGGCAGCAGAACCTTAATACATCACAGACAGCCCAAGCATCTCTTCTTAATAACCCTGACGCGGCTAACTGGGATATCATGGTAATCCAGGAACCACATATGAACTTGTTCTGCAACACATCCACAAACCACCATTGGCATGTCCTATACCCCTCCCAGCATTACACTCACCCCCAGCAGTGCACCCGAGCTATCACTCTCATTAGTACCACCCTAAACACCAACTCCTGGAAACAGATCCCATTCCCATCATCTGACATCGTCATAACCCAACTCTCCGGCCCTTATGGTAACTGCACAATAATCAACATATACAACAATGGCAACTTGCAGACCACTCTAATGACTCTCAACACCTACCTAGAAGCCAATATCGCGGTCATCAGACCCTCAGACAATGATCATATGTTGTGGATGGGCGACTTCAACAGACACCACCCCCTCTGGGAAGAACCACTGCAATAGCCACCTGTTCAACCACGCCGCTGCACACCCGCTAATCAAACTAATTGCAGACTATGGCATGATACAACTACTCCCATGCAGGTATCCCGACACTGCAATCCTCCAGCACTGGCAACTGGATGCGCCCCGACAATGTATTCAGGTACTGAACTACTATGAGACGCCAGTCATCTCATGTAATACAGATCCTAGGCAGTGGGGCCCTAAGACAGATCATGTCCCGGTTCTTCTCACTCTAGAACTGGACACCCCAAAAACCGACACCGAACTACGCAGGAATTGGAGAGAGACAGATTGGGAGGCCTTTCAGACCTGCCTCCAGGAGCACCCTCTCCCTCCACCCAGTGCAACCTCTGGCCTCCAATGAGGAATTCCAAGAAGCCGCCAGCTTCCTCACTCAAGCCATCATGAAATCCATCAAAATGCATGTCCCATACTCCAAACCCTGCCCACACTCCAAACACTGGTAGACACACTGGCTAACTGGTCTACGTTGACAAGTCAGCCACCTCAGCAAAACCGCCTACCTCATGCTGAGGACTCCCGGGGCATGAATGCCACAAAGAACTCAAATCTGCCAAGAAACAGTATGCCGAGGAGATCGAGTCAACTGAAAGAGCAGCACTGTGTAGAATGGCTCAGGAGATATCGAGGGTAATGACCTTTGGACTGCTAACCAGTTACATTTCAGCTGACCCCAAGGATGGAGGCAAGACACGGGTCCCAACACTAACCAGTGAGAAAAGGCCTGCTCATCACAGAATCATTCTTCCCACCACCCCCAGCCCTTAACTCAGTCCCTCCTGACTGTCATCTACCCTGACCCCGTCACATCACACCCTCCCATAATGTCAGCAGAAATAATATGAGCCATCACCCACCTCAGCAGCTACAAGGCCCTGGGCCCAGGACGGTATCTGTAACATCATATATAAAGAATGCGCATCCATCCTAGTCCCCTACCTGACCCATCTGTTTACTGCGGTATTCTCCCACAAGACCTATTATGTGCTGTGGAGAAGTTTCACCACTGTTGTCCTCCGCAAACCCGGCAAACTGAACTGCTCCATTCCCAAGGCTTACCGACCCATTGCCCTGCTGAACACCATGGGCAAGCTGTTAACAGTGGTAGTAGCAGAGCAACTAACGTTCACCTTGGAGCACCATCATTTACTTCTGAACATGCATTTTGGAGGTCGCCCAGGACTGCTCCACCACTGATTCCCTGCACCTCCTCGAAGAAACTGTGAAGAATGCCTGGTGTTCCCACAAAGTAGCATCAGTACTGTTTCTCGACATCAAAGGAGCATTCCCAAATGCCATAACCAACCGCCTCCTCCACAACATGCATATGCGCCGAATACCATGCAATCTAGTCAACTTCACTGAATGAGTGCTGATGGACCGTCAGACCCAATTACGATTCAACGGCTTCACCTCAGAATGGATCCCTATCAACAACGGCATTGGGCAAGGTGATCCTCTCTCCATGATCCTCTATATCATCTACAGCTCAGACCTGGTCAATGTCGCCAAGCCACACCACAGATGGGAAACCCTCCAAGAACTCACACTAGCATTTGTAGATGACACCACATTCATAGCCATTGTCAAGGACTTTGAATCAATGCACCACATACTAGCAGACATGTTGGAGTGCCTGGGAGGAGGATATGAATGGTCTCAAAACCATAACTCCCGGTTCAAGACCAACAAGTTCGCGCTGATGGATTTCTCCATGAACCGACAATGAACATGACTGGACATGCACATCCAGGGTGCCACTATAACGCCCACATCAACTCACCATTTCCTAGGGGTTATCAGTTGATCATGAGTTAAGATGGAATCGCACAAGTCGATAATGCAGTCGCGAATGGCCTTGCATATGTCTTTCAACTTCACCGACTATCCTCCGCCGCCAAGGGAATACCTCTACACCTCATGCGCCAACTATACCAAGCGGTAGCAGTCCCAAAAATGTTATACGCCGCAGATCTATGGTTTGCCCCCGCATACCGAGATAATTCGGACACCCTACAAAGGGGGTCAATAGGAGTAGCCAAAAGACTGGAAAGAGTCCAACGCATAGCAGTAATCGCCATAACGGGAGCTATGAGAACCACTGCCACCGACACCCTTGAGGTTCACACAAACTTACTCCCAATCACCCTCCTCCTCCAAAATACCTGCCGTCACGCCATCATCAGACTCACCACTCACCCTGACTCTCACCCCCTGTATGGACCAGTCTGCCGGGCCGCACATGCAATATGTATCAATGCACAGATCATCCCTCCATTGACTCACTCATCATTTTGCCATCAGGCCCAACGAAATCAAGACACTAATCACAGCACATAGAATACCATCCAGCTCCAACTCATACAAAACCCATATTGCCGCCACCAAAGACAAGGCCATAGAAGAACATGAGAAGCTCACCGATGCAATCCAAGTCTATAGTGATGGCTTGGGATATTGAGACCAAATCAGAGCGGCAGCCATGCTCTTCAGAGTAGGAAGGAGACCCAGAGTATTATGCTTCCACCCAGGAACATACTGTATTTGAGGCGGAATCAGTGGGCCTAACATTAGCAGCGAGATTGCTGGCAACAGAACACAATCTTATCTTCCCTTATCTCCATCTTGATTGATAACCAGGCAGCAATCCAAGCTGGTGAGAGCTTCTCAACGAACCCAGGCTCATATCTAACAGATCATTTCCACAGTATGATGCGCAAGGTAGCCTGGGAATACCTGGGAGGAGACATCACAGTTCAATGGGTACCAGGGCACGTCAATGTCCATGGCAACGAGGAGGCTGATAAACATGCCAAGAGGGCTTCAGAAGGTCGGTTCAACAACAGCCCTCGTGATCAACTCCCGCACTACTTGCGTCACGGATCCCTCCCCCTAAGTGTTTCCACATTTAAGGAAGTACATAACCACGAAACACAGTCATGATGGGATCAATTGTGGAAAAAGTCACCCCACTATGCCAGAACATACCAGCTAGACCCTAAGATCCTTCATCACTCTTTCGTCAAATTGACTGCTGACTTCCCAAAATGTCTGACAGGATTATACATGGCTCTCCATACATGTCATGCTCCCCTCAATCAACATTTGCATCACATAGGCAAAACCATATCCCCCAGCTGCCCCCACTGCCCGTGATATGAGGAATCCAGTTCCTCACTACCTTCTTGACTGTCCACATTACTGTCATCAACGCCACACAATGCAGAACGCATTGGGAAGACAAGCTATGTCTCTATCCTACCTCCTCTCCAAATCAGAAGTGACCGCACACTTAGTGCAATTCATGAACGCCACTGGCCGTCTGAAAGTTACCTTCAGTGAAGTCCCATTGCCCCATAAACCTCCAGACTGACATAGCAATGTATCACTGTAGATCATAGACTGTTCATATGTTAAGCAAGCGCAATCACACCCCATGTACAAGCACCCTGTAAAAACAAACACCCTGTACAACACACACACCCTCTCCCTCACTCGACTACATGGAATCACTCTCGTCACCTAGCGGCATCAGCTGGATGAACAAGGATCATTCTATGGCATCAACGACCCACCCTCCCCAAATAATATACTCATCTGCACCCCTACCAATTCCTGTACCAGCTCACCTTGTGCGACCAAGTACGCGTTTGCAGCCCATACAATAGTAAAGACACTCACCGCACATTATTACATAGTCATGTCATCCTCATTGAATGGTGTGTCTAAAACGGCTGGAAGGAACGGCAGACTGGTAGGGTACGCCCGAATCCAGGGCATTCACACATTTGGAGATGCATCAGGAACACTGGGAGTTCCTTAGACTAGATAGTATTGTCCTCCATAGAGTATAACTCTCAAAAGGACAAAAATTGGAATCAAAAAAAAAAACCTCTCTGGCCATGCCAGCACCTTACATCACTGTCCCATCTTACAACGACCCTGCCTTCTTGAGTTCGAATCAACATGGCTGTACATTCAGCTTTCTAGCAACATTATCAGTATCTGATATGGTCTTGACTTCGGCAGTACATGCGCATCATATTAGGCTAGACAGTGGCAGTGAGCAGTGAAGTAATGACTGCAGCAGAAATTAGCACCTATTACTCCCACCTTTCCAATATAGTAAAGCAGTACTTAAGATGTCTGCTCACCCTTATATTAAGCCAAAAAGCATTATTTGTGAGGACCAGCAGTCCAGACCAGCAAATTGAGTGACTTAGACACTAAGATATTGTAGTTCGTATTACTAATGAGGTAGACTGCGTGAACGGCTACCCAAATCAGTAATACCGCAGCCACACACATTGCCGAAACCTTCATGCTCGCTGTGGGCAACAGCAAGCTCAAGTATTCTATCAATTCAATGTATTTTTACCTAATTTTTTTCACTGTACCATTGAATATATCATTAAATAATAGTTTACTTAAATTTTGAGACCAAGGGAAGGCTATAATAAGTGTACATGACATATATGAAAGGTAGGGGGGCATGGTGGCTCCTACACCTCCTCCAGAGGCCCCAGTACATTGCCCTCTGGTCGAAAATATTTCAATTATATATAATAATATGTCTATATAACAAAAAAAGCGAAATGAAATCTCCTTAGAGCCAGGGAGGACATTCTGGTAAGGAAAAATGAGGAAAATGGGGGAGGGGAGGGAGGAAGGAGGACCTACATGGCCACTAGCATCACAATATCACACATGGAGGTGTTATAGACATCAGGGAGCAAGGGGAGAGTGAATAGAGGTACCAGGAGCACAAAAATGCGCCCCAAACCAGGAGGATTACTGTAGCTGGCACGGAACTTGATATAGCTACTCACCAGTGGAACAGGAGCACAATCGGCGTTAATGGAGTGTATTTTGACTATATTAGAGTCATATGAGACACTGTAATTGGCGAGGAATTGATTAGTAGATATACAAGGGGAGAAACAACATAAAACATGAAAAATAGAGAGGAGACTTACCAGAGGGTCTAGAGCGAAAGTCCTGGTACTCTAGATAGTATAAGGCATCTATATAGTTGACTGGAAACAGTTGAAATGGTAGGGATAAAGGAGGAAGAGAAGTTAGAAACAAAAATCACCAAAAATGCGAACCATGAGGCTCACCAGGTCTGGGAGGTGCCCAGCATCTATAGTGATGGCAGGAAGGTCATAAGATAATGAAGGTGGTCCTAAATGAGTATTAGAACACATGGGAAGTGCTGTGGACAGGTGTCCCTGTCATATTGATGCATGAATCTGTTGTAGTTGTAAGGTAGGAGTGATGCAACACTGTTACAATCCATAGGCAGGTAAATAGGGTGCATCATAATGCATCAGTGATGCAGCAGGATGCATCAGCAATGCCATATGATGCATGCCTGTGATGCTTGCTATGATGCATCATTTGATGTGGTGTTGTCCATTTATGGTATGTAGCGCCTTTGGCGGGTTCTGGCAATACAGCGGGATATGATGCATTATTTCCTCAGAGCTCCCTCCTGCCCGCCTTCTTTGATGGGGCAGTATTGTCCATTTATGGCATTCGGCGGGTTCTGGGCAGGTTCTGGCAATACAGCAGGTACTGGTGCACCAGCAGCATTCCACCTTGTTACTAATCCTCAGTGCTCAATTCTAGCAACATGGCCGCAGGTACAGATGCATCTCGGCGGGTTCTGGGCAGATGGCAGGTATGGTGCACCAGCAGTATTCCACCTTGTTGCTAATCCTCAGCACTCAATTCTAGCAAGATGGCTGCATGTACGGATGCATCTCGGCAGGTTCTGGGCAGGACGGACTACTACTATCTATCAGCCTGCCCCGATTTTGCTATGCACCCACCTGAATTGACATTGTTATCAAGTACATATCCTACAGCCCACCCCGATTTGCCACGCGCCCACCTGAATTGATGTTACCAAGTACATAGCAAGTAATGCATCACTCTCCTACAACCAAAATTTTATGAAGTCCATAGCACAAAACTTCGGTGATGTATCTGATGCATCAATGTTAGCAATTTCATTCTCGCACACCTCTCAGTCAAACATTAGCATTTGAATCATGCGCACAAAATGATGTGTTATATTTCTCGTCAGGTACAAGATAACTATTAGTAATAGATTGAGTAGGGACATTATATCAAGAAATTAGCAAAACTATGATGACAGCAGCATTATTCAAGCTATGAATGAGAAGAACAACTATACTAGACCTTTGCCCGCTTCTTCCTAAGAGCTCTTAGCAGGCATCAAAAAAAAATGAGCAGGATAACGTACTGTTGAGCACCCGCAGGCCCGTTCTGCGCAGGCTGTTTCATGGAAGGCTCAGTACCAATCGCATCCACCAGCTCGTTACGCCTGGACTTAACTGGGACACGCTTGGATGTACGTGTGTTCATAGAGTCGTTGGTAATTCCACCAGGAGCTGCAACCCCTGGTGAACTAGACTCAGCTCCGGGTGGGTTAGTAATCGGTTTATTGAATGGCTTGGTCAGATCAACAGGTAGCTGGGAGGTGGTGTGATCATTGGGGGTGGTGGTGGCCTTGGGCTTGCGGATGGCCTTGGGTTTTGGGGCGACCTTGAGCTTGTGGATGGCCTTGGGCTCGAGGATGGTTTTGTTGTTGCCCTGAGGTGGGTTAGGATGAGGCAAGATGGGGAGCTGGGGTGGGTTGGGATGAGGCAAGACTGGGAGCAGGGGGTGGGTTGGGTGGCATTACTGGTAGTGAGTCAACACTGGACTCATGCAGCAGACTAGTGCACTCAGCAGAAACCTGGTGATAAATTTTCCTGCAGCCAAGCAGCAGCAGAGGCCAGAGACATTTGGAAGACTGGATCATTCCAATTGAGATCTTGCCACTGTATTGGGGAATGAGAAGCTGGGGGTCAACACAGAGGGGTTGTAGACCAGTGTAAACCCATCAGTGGACATGAGAGGGGCAGTATACACTGGAGTAAAAGAATTAGGAACTGAATTGGTGGTCACAGGGGGTACATATACTGGTAAATATGAATGGGGAATTGGTGCGGAGACATCGTTATAGTTAGAGTATGATGATGATGCATCAGACTGCAGGGGTGCATCAACCTGTGAATAGATATGTATTGCAAACGAAAGGGTACATACCATTGCACTCATTGATGCATCAGGTGTGGCTCCTGATGCATCAGATGCATCACCCAGTGAAGCATCAGGCAGTGGCAAGGAGCCTTGTGATGCATCAGCCAGATGCATCAGCTGATTATATAAACATATAAAGACCGACCAATCTACCCACCTTCGCGATCATCTTGCTCCTCTTCCCCTTGACCAAAGGACTCGGTATCCTTGTCCTCTTTGATGTCGTCATGGCCATTGGGCACCTCTTCACCATACACTTCAAATTCCTCACTGCACTCCATGTCCTCGTTCCCTACAGTAATGTTAGGCTTGCGCTTGTCAGATGCTGCATGATATAAACTAGGTAAGTCAACTAGCAACTTGCAGATTAAAAATGCATGGAAGATTATTTCCTGCATATTGCTGAAACACCTCTAGGAAATTCTTATCGGCCGCTTGATATAACTGGGCGAAGGTTCTGCCTTGTGGAGTTTCAGAGGGATGGCAACTTGAATGCGTCAGAGTCTCGGTGTGAGTCCCAAAACAGTTTATATCCGATACGTAAACTCAGGATAATGAGGTCATATCCCAGTTGTTTCCTGGATCTGGACCAGCAAACATGAAGGACATGAGGAAACCGGTCTTCTTCTTGACCAATTGCACAAATCGCTGGCAGATAATGGGTAAGTCATCTATGCCCTTGCTTGAATGTTAACTATTGAACTCTATTCATAGAAACCACTTACTGTGCAATTTCCTCTGCATCAAACACACAATCCTCGGCATCCTCATCTAAAATATTCTTCTTGCCGGACCTCTCGTGAGTTTTCTGCTGCTTCTCATACATATCACGAATCTGAACCTTGACCTCCTCATCCTCATCATCCAACAGCTCTTTAGAAAATTTATGCCCCAGCGCAATTCGTCTGCCCAACAACACCTTCCCAGCCTCTTCCTCGGCCTTCACCAATGGTCTGATCCGCTTGTCGTAGTAGATATCAGAGTATAACTCAGCCTCGGACTTAGCACGTCATTTTGGCTGCAGCACGTCATCAAAGACAGTTGACTCCTTTTTCAGGCTATGGTTTTTCTTGGACATGTTCACATGCCAATGAAACCAAGTCTGGAGTTGCTGAATCAGTTGTACGTCAGTATATAGTGATATGTTCATTATAGATGGGCTTACTATTTTGCGCCTGTTTTCAGCTTCTCCCACCTCAATACATTGCTCTGGCGAAAGGGCGTCAGCGGGAATGTCGGGAAATACTACCGCTTCCTCTGGGAACTGTTTAAACCAGTCCCTGATCAAGGTCAGCCAAAAACGCGAATAATCTTTCTCCTTCAAGTGCTCTGTGAGATATTGGGGGAGGCGCTCTTGAAGCCACTCTGTTTGTACGTTTGAGGTCCAGCGTGCTGCAGGCATGAGGAGATCTTGTATGTTGAATGAGGTCACTGCAAGATTAAATGTGCACACTTCAAGTTGTCCCAAAAAATGAAAATCCCACCTGAGGGTGTAAACTTATGTACGCCATACTGTTGGATTCTGTCTCATGCACAGGCCTAACTTTAGTGATTGGTTGTCTTGAACAATGCAATCAACCACCTGAAGGAGCAGTATGGTAGTTCTGTTAGATACTTCGTCCATAGCTAACTTGAAACATATAAATAGAAGTAGCAAGCACATTGTTCTAATTTTATCCAGGCACCTTGAGATCCAATCAATCGAAGTCTAAATCTACGCCATCCCCCTGGGCCTCGGTGTTGGTACTCCCACCATCCTCGACATCACCACTGGCAGGCTTGTCACCTGTGACATCCATCCAATCCTCCGTGAACCCCTCTTCAGCCTGTAACATCACACTCTGATTATGCACTGACATGATTGTGAACAGAATGTATCCCATTAAGGCCGTTTGGGATTGAAACCAAGACTTAATGCACTATTGAGTCATCAGCTTGTGCACTACATAGGATCCCAGTACCCACATCTTTCCTCTATTCTATAGCCTGATACACCTGATGGTGCTGCTCTTCAGAGAGAGACTGAGTGTTGGGTAAGTCAGGGAACAAAACATCACGCTGTAGGAAGCCGATCACTACTGAGCTAGTATCCCCTATCTTTCCGATCCTCTCTGACCCACTTTCCCGTGCTGCTGCTCCACATCAACGTTGGCCGATGATCGGCCCAGTCGGTCGCACTCGATCCAAGTCGGACATTGTCTGCACATGCAATCGGTCACTATCCATCGTCTCATGTCATTGGCCCGTCGTCTACTGGTACATATATTGCTTACTTTCATCGCTTTCTATCCCCATTCGCATAATCGGACTGCTTATCAGCTTTTTATCGCCCCACCTCACACCTTATTACATGGACACAGAGAAACGAGTATTTAGCAATCCATGAGGCATCTTAAGCAACCCAAAGTTCCCCTTCATCGCTTAGTCTCATTTACTATATATTCCGCCCATGTTCTTAGTAGTTTCTCTAGCAAATTCTCACTTGGAACGATTTCTTGTGTGATTTCTCATTGAGTCGTCGGCCGACTCTCTTAAATGTTCGCTCATTGTACTACACACACACCTCCTCTATTTCACTCATTTATCACTCAGGACCGCTCCACTTCACTCTCTCTTTGCTCAACTTCAATCGGTCAAGTCGGCATTGGCATTGGCATCAACTATTAGGTCGGACAATACAACTTGTTGTTGGTGGTTTGCATTGCACTGCTTCCCCTATAGGGTCGAACGCACTTGAATCGGCCGCAGTCGCGCTGATAATGCAGTAGCAACCGAAACCCACAACGCTCTGGCCAGCAATCAAAGAAAATCTCATATAGGGATGTCCAGAACTCGATGAGGTCTTCGTACTTGTACTCATAGCAGTAGTTGTACTGGCCTAGCTGATTTTTCAGCCAGCGGCGCTGATCAGTTGAGAAATAGGGTTCCAACATGCTGATTGAAGGTTTGAGTTGACGTGTGAATGTAGATTAGAGCTGTGAAATAGTATTATTTTGTGCTCCGAACAGTGGAGTGCACAATTGTCACCAGACTGAACATTGAATGTTGAACATTCAAAAGTCTTGAATGTTCAGTACCTTAGAGCAGTTTGAAAGCGACACCATCAATGTGATAGAACAAGATATTAGTCTGTGAGTATTCTTAGTACTTACTATCTGCAATGTGTGTTGTCCAAAGGGCTGAGTCTGGGTTTTGAACATTGAATGTTGAACATTCAAAAGTCTTGAATGTTCAATACCTTAGAGCAGTTTGAAAGCGACACCGTCAATGTGATAAAACAAGATATTAGTCTGTGAGTATACTTAGTACTTACTATCTGCGATGTGTGTCATCCAAAGGGCTGAGTCTGGGTTTGTCTGATACATACAATTTAATAAAACTCCCTATGACAACAGAATGTGCCACTAATCAAGATATGCACCATGTCTTGAAGACACCTACCTGGCAGCCGCATGTGACAAGGTAGAAAGGACCAAGGGCCCCAGCACTGGGAACATCGAAGCTGAAATCACAATATTGCTGCTGGCCCCTCATCTCACCATTGACAACGATAGCTGTCATTGGAAGATGTGGGAAACCGAAAAACCCAGAGTGCATGGTGGGGGCGGGCACTGTCTGCACAAATGCAGCAGCCTGAGTCTCGGAGGCTACTGCAGGAGGGCTGACGACAGCTACTGCAGAAGGGGGGCTGTTGATGGCTACTGCAGGAGGGGGACTGACGATGGCTACTGCAGGAACAGCAAATGTAGCAGAAGGGGTAACAATCACTGGGGTAATGACGGCCGCTGTAGGAGTCACGATGGCTGCAGATGACATGGCAGGAGGGCCTCCACTACCATCAGAAATCACTTGGATGAGGGTTTGCACCTCATCATTCGATAGTGTCAATAAAGATAGTAGTTGCAATACAGCATCTGAAACATGTGTTAGCAGACATCAATCAGTGATGGGCCAAAAACGCACCAAGGCTGCTTTGATCATTGTTTGTGGTGGTGGTCATTGTTTAGGAAGTCAGATGAGACGTAGGCCATAGAGAATCGAATATAAGTACTTACCAAACTCAATGCCTAGCTGAAGATCAGGTACCAACTCAAGTCAGTGAGGTCGGTTGCAATAGAGAATCATTATCTATTTGATATTGTTTATTGATTCACACAGAAGTGACATGCATGATTTGAATCATTCGATGCTGGCCATCAACATACTGTACTTCATGAATGGCAAGTCCATCACTGATGATGGTTAAGATTATAGGTAAGTAGGAAAAAAAGTCTTGCCCTCATTGTTTGCCAACGATCGGTACAGTCAGTACTTTGGCATGGAGTCCAATCCATCCCCGATTGTGTCATGAATGTTACCAACTGCATCTAAATTTCGATTATCGAACCCTAAGTCACCTTATCCGATAAGATTAGATTAGATAGATCCCTGATAAGATAAGATGGATAACCGATTAACGATCACTATCTTGAATTCACATCTATACTATATCGACGACATCCATCTATATCCGTAACCCTAGATAACCGAACTCATCATATCCTTAGAAGTCCTACGATTAGGCAACGGGTTACATCATAAGCATCTACATGCCTCTATGATCGAACCATAACCAAGAGTACTCTACGAGCTATCTCTCAAAGGGTCATCATCTCTTTACATCGCACACCTTCATTTCTCATGACATGTTAAGAGTTACCTCTGTCATTCACCGAATCCCTTACATAAGAACCTGTTGCACAGTCACAGCTAAACCCTAGATCCCTATCACAGAAGCATCGCTCATAGAGAAGCATGTTCATTACCGAAGACCCTGGAGAATCCCTAGATCCGATCATACCCGATACATCTCCAGATTCTATCTAGATCATCCAATCTAGATCCAAGATCCTATCTCTAATCGAGATCCTTAATTACCGCTCGAGACTTCTTATCACAGAACTCTCTCACCCTTCTTAATCTCCGTCCACCCTGAATAGAAGCAGTCCCTGAGAACCCTGCTTAATTACCGATACCCTTGGCCCTATGAACCCTTTACCCTTCTCTTCTTGTAGTTGATTGGTTGATAAGACGCCCTATACCCTAGGTGCAATGTTATGACCGTATATAGTTATATCACATACCTTTCATACTCAGATAGCTCCGCCCCAATAGTAGTATATAGTCTAGGTAGTAGTCAGTAGTACTCCTTAGACTTAACCTCCTCGTTTCTACGTCATCGTAGGGCCTAGACGTTCCCTCTCAATACTACCCTTGCTTTATCCTTCTTCAGACTGAGTCCTGTGGTGTGATACAATCTCCAGACACCTACTAGTTAGGTTAAGGGACGTTGGTCATAACAGATTGCTAGTTTGTCTTCAATGATCGTATGTACAGAGGAATTGCACCAGGAGTTGGGATGAATAACAAGAGCCAAGAAGCAGCAGAAAAGAGTCACCCTCAATTCTTACTCGCATCCAAAGTCTTCGAGCATGGATTCTCATGGCATTCACAAGGTAGCTTTAGATTTTTGCTATTGTGCCCTGGCCACAACCCACATACAACAGCTCCTTTGCAAGTCATTATTTCCGTCAACAACATCTGACCCCAAGACTGCGGCGACATTTCGCCTTCTCGAAGAATTTCATCTTTTGTCATTCGAATCAAAGGTGTCAGCATACGAGTTTTTTAATGCACTGATGTGGAGGTCTGACAATATGGGACTGAGTCCTGTCAAAGTAAGTACCGTTTGGGCTGCTTCCATGACAACATTGCCTTACATTTATTCAGGAACGATACAACCAATTCATGTGGATGATTTGCCAATGGCGTCATCTCAAGATGCTCAAACGCTCTGGGCATCCTTATGATCCCAATGGGGTTGATTCGACTTCTGAGGGTGGGTGCGCTGTTTTATGTCCAGCCTGTCCACAGCCTGGGAAAAACTTACCCTCTGATTGGAGAGAGGCTTCCCCTACTAACCAGTAAGATGCTACTGTAACAGCATGGGTATTGCAGTCGCTGATTCATAGAAGCTGGTTGTATGGGCTGTTTGTCACCATCAATGCTAATTTCCGGCTGAAACGGAAAGTTGTTTCAAAGGATAGTGTAGACCCCAGCCTGAGTCACAGCTGGGGATACTTTGTCGAAGAAAGTGCATACAAGGCTTTCCTAGATGATAATTCTAATATTAGCCAAGAGGTGAGTTTTTAGTCATTGTCTGTATATTTTCCTTGATACTAACATGGGCTTGTGGAACAGAAGTCTACATGTTCAAGCCATAACGCGGTAAACATGGTGGATACTAAATCCAGTCATGGGCTTGCAGCTACAGGGCTGGGTACTATTGATTGCGCTCACCACAACATGAAGTTACCGACCACAGTCAGAGACCTCCAGAAAGGAGAAAAGTAAGTTCTGCTATACTTCAGACACTTGATAATATTGATGTGCCGCCATCTAGATACGTAAATATGGATTACCTCTTCTTTTCGACCCTTCGGCATACCTCTGTGGATATCCTCAACATCTCGTATGATATAGTGTGCCAGTGGAAGAAGAATTTATGGCACTGCATGACATCATTTCCCCCCTCCATGCAACTGGACCATGGCACTAAGAAAGTCACCTTCTTTGTTCCAAAATTCCATCTGCCGGCTCATATTGAATCATGTCAAACAAGCTTCTCATTCAATTTTGCACGTGGCGTTGGATGAACCGATGGAGAAGCCCCTGAGTGAGGATGGGCGAATATCAAACCCATGGCATCAAGCACTAAAGAGATGGGCCCAGGCGCGAGACGAGACACCCTTGATGATTTTTTTGGGGATTGGAATTGGAAGAAAATTACTGGTCTATGTAAGTTATTTTGACAGTGATGCACTGATTACTGATGCATTACTGATGCATTACTGATGCATCATTAGGTTGCACCATGCTGCAGAAGGTGAAAGAAGCCTTGCCCGAACTATCGGAACACGAAGCAGCTCTGGATGACCTCAAAGAAGGACTGAAAGTGGAATACACGGAAGCATTGAGCAGATGGAAAGAGCAGGTTGAGGCATGGGAACATGATCCCTCCCAGCCAAACCCATATGAGCGAAGCACAGAAAGTGAGTACATTGTGTTTTGTTGCAAATGATGTCTTGATGCTGATGTCATTTCATGCAGAGATCACACTTGCATCTGTGCGGCTTGAACTTGCAAAAGAAGACGCATCAGAATTAGAACTAGGCAGCTTCCACAAATTGCATGAAGATTGTTCGCCTAGTGTGCTGATTAGCAGTGGCCTAGAACTTGAAGAGCAACAGTAAGTTTAATTGATATGACTCATTGTATGGTTGCTAATGAAACACTTCAGACGACGTCTTCGAGCTGACAAGGCGGGTCTAGGGATTCATGCCACTGACATTCAAGAAGGAAAGGTCGTTCAATGTAGTAACAGTCTCCAGTGTCGGATCAAGGCTTGGGTTAAAGTCCAGGAATTATACATGCCAATGGTCGCAGCCCTACGACTGAGAGACAAGTCCAGTGGTGTTGTCGTCACTCCCGAGTCATTTGAGCTTTTGCTTCCTTCCCAAGTTGGCAGAATGGATCCTTGTGACCTCAAATTTCAGAAAATTGAGTGGAGACTTTATTATGCACAAGCTCACAACACCCTACGCTCTAACCTCCGCATGCAAACTGCTATCCTCAAGTACAAGGATCGGAACCTCCGTGGTCAAGGCTCAAATACACAAGCTCATAACATGCTCAAAGGCGTTGACACAAGAATTGAGGCAGCATCGACCCGATATCAGGATGCATGCAGAGCGCTGGTGATTCTTGCTCCCTTCATCAAGGAGACAGGCTGGCAGCCCTCCCTATGTCTGCTCGATCATCAAGATATCCAAGGAATGTCAGATCTCCTGTGGGGCGAGACTGAAGGAAGGCGAAAGCTTTCGTGGATATGGAATATGCGCGGTGCTCATGGAGACGAGCTGGACAAAGATGGATCTATGGAAGGTATGTATGCTTACCAATTTGTTCATGCACCCTATCTCACCGGTACTCCATCCAGATATGCGAATAGAATGGTGCAAGGCCAGGGTGCGCGCTATACGGTGGAAGGAGGAGCTCGAGCTGTTATGAGAGGAGATGTGGAGGATTCTGCAGTTCTTTGACTGGCAAGCCATGTCTTGGGATGAGTGTGCAGATCAGAACTGGTCTGGTAGTCCCACTGAGAGAGAGGGTCGGATTGCATATGCTCGACATCAAGCTGCCTTGCATCGGGCACTGTGGGACATGTGTCATTCCAGTTGGGCAGATACTCGCACATTTGTGGACCAGTTCCATGGGAATCCTAGCACTCTTGGTCTTTGACAGCCCCAACAAACATATCTTGCATATAATGTAGCATTCACAGACATAGTTATGCAATCAATACAGGTGATGACAAAGTGTGGGCAGGATCACCAATGTACAGGAGAAGGGCAGGAGGATGATGCATCAAATAAAGGGCGGGGGATGCATCAGACGAATGGTGTGATGCATCAGTAAACAGCGGGGGGGATGCATCAAATAAAGGGTGGGGGATGCATCAAATAAAGGGCGGGCATCAAATAAAGGGCAGGGGATGCATCAGATGAATGGCATGATGCATGATGCATCAGTAAACAGCAGGGGGATGCATCAAATAAAGGGCGGGGGATGCATCAGAAGTAGGTGGACATGCATCACACAGCAGAGGGATGCATCACATTATATAGCGGGCATGCATCACACAGCGGAGGGATGCTGTCATATACCAGATCCAGGCACCTCCAATACCACCTGGGAACATCCCCACCCCTGTTCCGACCCCCTGCTTCCCCGTCCGCTCCATTCCTCCTTCCCCGACAATGCACGAAGTACATCTCAGCAGGATTAGCCCTGCTACCTCTGCCCAACCCTGTTCTGCTCTTCCGACACTACCCCTATGTCCTCCAACCCCATACCCCTTCCATCCAACCCTATCTGGGGTTCCGCTCCTCTGCCCTATCGGTCTGCCCGATCCTATTCCTACTCCCTCCACTTTTCCGACCTGTGCGGATTCTTCAGTTCCACTCGTATTCCCCACCCGACTATTAGTCCATCTGACCGCCTCACCAATCCACTCCTAGACTAGGAACCACTCAACTGGTCCTATCCCCGTTTAGTATCATAGTTCCGCTTTTCAGATCACCAGTAATCCCTATACCCTAGTGATTCTGATCTGTCACGTACATACTGTTCCCTGAGCCTTATTCTCGTATGTCTCAGTCATCCTATTGTAATCCTGTACACTTAGCACATAGCCTTCTGCTATGCTATGCTCATCACTTAGAGTATATAATCATATGTACATTTGTCTGTAGATACTCAGTCTGAATATTACCTTTTCTAAGCCCTGCTCTTCTGTCCTTTGACTCAGACTTAACCCGATGTGAGGAACGTCCCCACTGTAGGCCTGTATCCCGTATAATTCCCATGCCTTACTACCATCTTCCTGTGCATTCCACTACCATCCCGCTGTAGGGAGTATCCCTACGCTAGGCTCATATCCACCACTTTTCTGATGCATCAGGCATCCATCTGACGTCCATCCGACACCTATCCATTCCATCCGATACACATCCACTTTTCGGATGACATGTGGATACCTTCAGATCTCCCCCTATAGCTCGCGCATCCGCCGCATCTGTCCTGTCCACGTCCATTCTACCTCATTGGTATGTACTCACATGCATTTTCTTGTTACTGACTGAACACAGACATATCCTCTCACACTCCAGTATTTTTCAGATAGCTTATGGCATGGTCTAGACTCGCTACCTATATCTCTATGTTCCTTGAAAATACTGTACCCTATAAGCATGGAGGTTTTCAAAAAATACTTACTTCATGTAACTTCCTCCCACTTTTCCTGCACCTTACCAGAAAATCACTTTGACTTATACCCACTATCCATCCAACCTTTAATGAACTTCCTTCAACTTTGATTCACATCCCATCCAATCCGCAAGTATCATCCGCTCCATCCGACGAATCTGTACATTTCGCATCCTATCCATTTCATCCGCTTTTGCAGATCCTTCTTCCTATAGGGTTGCTTTAGACAGAGACTAGTGTTTCCCCAGTAGCAATCCCCTTAAGGGTTGAACGTGCTTGTTTCCAAGCGAGGCAGCAGGCAGCAAAGACCCAACTGTGTAGTAGATCGATTTCTCTCCACTGCACTTGTTGTCCCACACCACTACCCATCCGCATCTTCCCCGAGCCGTCCGCTACACGGAACCAAGCGGAACCCAGCAGAACAATCACGTACCACACGCATCATATCCTTTTAGCCTTCAGAACGTCCTCCTCCGTCCTGTCCTTGTCCTTCCATCCTCGCTGGTGAGTACTAGCTACGTTCCCTGTGTTACTGACATGTTCCTATCTGATTTCATATGTGTTATGGTACTTATATGGATCCTTCCGCTACTCGGGACCGGTTCCTTATCTCACAGCCTCACCCAGTTGTAGCATAGCGCATTTTGGAACCCCTTCCTATATAGGTAGCAATAGATGGGATCTTAGTTTTTTACCTTCTGATAGACTCGACTCCACTTTCACTTACAGAGTACTTCCCAGTACTCCACTCACTGTCTAAAATATCTTCCCGAATCTATTCCTGATCTCATTGCAACATTCCCAGCCCCATGAGTTCCACTCGAAACGCCCGACATCAGATCCGACGACTTGGAGCAAGTACCAGACACAAGCCTGGTCCGACTTTGCCCAATCATCCTCCTGCAGGCTCGTAGTTTCTTTTCCCTCCATTTGTTCCCCGTTAGTTCCATTTGTTCCCCATTTGTTCTGTTTGTTCCGTGTTAGTTCTGTTAGTTCCGCATTAGTTCTGTTAGTTCCGCTCATCACGCACTGAGTTCCACTCATCAGGAACCCTCCGCATCTTTGTGTTCCCAGTCCTAGTAAGGACCGGAACCCTTCAGGTCACTAGACAGAGTATAGTCTTTGCTTTCCTCACACTTATTTGAGGACCCGCTACCCAGTAGCAATCCCCTCGGGACGAGCTTAAGTCTCGCACCCTTGTTAGACTTCTGAACCACCCCAGAGTCTATTTTCCTCACCCACACCGAGTCAAAACTCCTGTTTGCCAACCTAGGGGATTGACTCCCTAGGTCAGCCGCTTCCCCACTTCCCCACTTCCCCACTTCCCCACTTCCCTGCTTCCCCGCTTCCCCGCTTCCCTGCTCCTCCGTTCCTCTGTTCCTCTGTTCCTCTGTCCCTCCACTCTTCCAACTCCCCGCGCGTCGGCTGGCTTTCCCACACATCGGAACTGATCCCTGCACTCTTGCACATCCGCCCCCTCTGTTCCGCCCTGTTTTGGACTTCATCCAAGCAGTTCCCTCCACTCCACTTCTACTGTTGGTTCCAATCGCAGTAACCTTCAACCTCTCTCCTGTCGGGTGGAACAACCCCCACCCAACTTTCCCGCACTCACCTAGTAGTCTGTCGGTCCTCCTTCAGAGGACCCCCATTCCGACGTCCTGTCAGAACTCATAGAACTCATGTCGGACTACATTCCGAAATTAGAGGCACATACTCGGGTAAGGGGCGCAGTGTACAAGCTGAAGCCAAGCCCCTCAGACTCTGCTTTACCCCTGAGCACGGTCTTAACAGATGCATCACATTATACAGGGTATTGTAGGGGGGGGACATGCATCACTCATGCATCAAAGGGCCTTAGGATTGTAACGTTGTTGCATCAAAACAGCGCTGCAGTTACAATGATTGATGCATAAATATGACAGCAACCTGTGCTATGGAGAAGGGTAGGGCGAGTTATTGAGTCAATGTTGAAGAGGGGTGAAAAAGCACTCACCTTGCCACCAGAGAGGCCCTGGGTGTGTATATGAACTAAAAGGCATCCTAGAAGAGTAGAAGACACTTAGAAATGTTGGTACAGCAAGTTTCAGGACCTACTGATGAGTTGTGGTTGAGTTACAATAAAAACAGTGGTTAGAGGTGTACATGTGAATTGTGCCATGGGTTACTGTGGCATTTAGGTAAATGTTCACACTGAAGAGAGTTGCTATTCGATGAAGGTCTTAGGGTTCAATCAGAAGAAACTGGCCAAACTAAGCTTCGTGTTAAAGTGGGGGTGAAAGATCAACTACTCGTCTCTTACTACGAGTTCTACTTTATATACTGTAGTAATGAGCCAATAGAATATCAAGGAATACTGAGGAAAGAATAGAGAAGAATGTGCCTGATACATATATGATTCGTCGTTTAGGTAACAAATCAATAACTAGGCTTTTACGAGCGTTACAGTTACCATATGTGTCCGAAGTTCAACTATACCAATTATCACTCACTTTCACTGTAGCACAACCACAACTCACCGGTTGGTCTTGAAACTTGCTGTACCAACATTTCTAAGTGTCTTCTACTCTTCTAGGATGCCTTTTAGTTCATATACAAACCCAGGGCCTCTCTGGTGGTAAGGTGAGTGCTTTTTCACCCCTCTTCAACATTGACTCAATAACTCGCCCTACCCTTCTCCACAGCACTTCCCATGTGTTCTAATACTCATTTAGGACCACCTTCATTATCTTATGACCTTCCTGCCATCACTATAGATGCTGGGCACCTCCCAGACCTGGTGAGCCTCATGGTTCGCATTTTTGGTGATTTTTGTTTCTAACTTCTCTTCCTCCTTATCCCTACCATTTCAACTGTTTCCAGTCAATTATATAGATGCCTTATACTATCTAGAGTACCAGGACTTTCGCTCTAGACCCTCTGGTAAGTCTCCTCTCTATTTTTCATGTTTTATGTTGTTTCTCCCCTTGTATATCTACTAATCAATTCCTCGCCAATTACAGTGTCTCATATGACTCTAATATAGTCAAAATACACTCCATTAACGCCGATTGTGCTCCTGTTCCACTGGTGAGTAGCTATATCAAGTTCCGTGCCAGCTACAGTAATCCTCCTGGTTTGGGGCGCATTTTTGTGCTCCTGGTACCTCTATTCACTCTCCCCTTGCTCCCTGATGTCTATAACACCTCCATGTGTGATATTGTGATGCTAGTGGCCATGTAGTCCTCCTTCCTCCCTCCCCTCCCCCATTTTCCTCATTTTTCCTTACCAGAATGTCCTCCCTGGCTCTAAGGAGATTTCATTTCGCTTTTTTTGTTATATAGACATATTATTATATATAATTGAAATATTTTCGACCAGAGGGCAATGTACTGGGGCCTCTGGAGGAGGTGTAGGAGCCACCATGCCCCCTACCTTTCATATATGTCATGTACACTTATTATAGCCTTCCCTTGGTCTCAAAATTTAAGTAAACTATTATTTAATGATATATTCAATGGTACAGTGAAAAAAATTAGGTAAAAATACATTGAATTGATAGAATACTTGAGCTTGCTGTTGCCCACAGCGAGCATGAAGGTTTCGGCAATGTGTGTGGCGCGGTATTACTGATTTGGGTAGCCGTTCACGCGGTCTACCTCATTAGTAATACGAACTACAATATCTTAGTGTCTAAGTCACTCAATTTGCTGGTCTGGACTGCTGGTCCTCACAAATAATGCTTTTTGGCTTAATATAAGGGTGAGCAGACGTCTTAAGTACCGCTTTACTATATTGGAAAGGTGGGAGTAATAGGTGGAAATTAGACCCATGTGAAAGGCCGAGAAAGTTAAGGCGTCGAGCAAGGCTGATATCAGAACGTGAATACAGCCTTTCAAACCGTGGATGTTTAAGAGTGAACTGCCTCGTGCCCTTGGCGTCTAACGAAGCATGTGAATGTTGCGTAGCAGCATAAAACCGAGTAGCACGCTCACCTCTACAGCTTATAGCAATTTGTACAATCAATCAAATTCGACGGTACACCAACATGGCGGAATAACCCGCGTTGCCCACCATTCAATTCACCGCACCTACTTGAGGTGCGCAAAAATCACCATAGGGGCAGTTGTGCACTTCCTTGATGGGCGTCGAGAAATCTGAAGGGGATCAGCCTTGTGGCTGTGCATCTAATGATACAGCTGAGTGCCGTGAAGGAACATTAAAACACCGAGCACACGCAGTCTCTACAAGCACACCTCAACGGCGTGCAATTGAACTTTATGATCAGGATCAGGATGGCGGAAGAAGCAGAGCAGCCCATCATTCCAAGCATCCCTTCTGTTCGGGTTTTGAGGTTCATGGAGATGCCATATGTGCAGTCGCAGTCTTCCCTGATAACAGGCGTATGGAGATGGGCTCGTATGACAACACACACCGTCTGTGGGACTTGAAGCAAGGCGTTATTTTGAAGAAAATGGAGGGGCATCGCAAAGAGGTGCGGGCGGTGGCAGTACTAAGAGACGGAAAATTGATAGCAATCGGCAATTCAAGTGGCAAAACAGTCTGGGACGGAGACACTGACGAATGTCTTGCCAAAGCCATCAACATCCACGCTGAAGTGATCTTTTTGCTAGACTTGTCACCTGATGGCGCTGTTCTGGCCAGTGGACAATATGATAAGGTTGCGGAACACGGAAAGCTGAGAGTTGCAAGGCAATCAATCTATTGTCATGATCGGGTCAAGTGCGTACGATATTCGCCTGCTACTACATCTTGCCATCACCAGACATTGGACAACAACATCCAGACATGGAATCCATGCACGAAGGAACATATAGTAAACAAGGATGTTCACGGCAGTTTGATGCTGAATATATCACTTGCGTGGACACCCGGTGGACGGCTTCTCTCATGGGATGATTCCAACTTGAATGTCCTGTGAAACGGGTGATCATGTTTGTTGACGCCTATTAGGATCAGAAGCTGTTGACCAACACAGTCAAACACCTTCTGTCGAGAGTTTTTGGCCATGGCTGCTTCCATAGCCCAGGTAGCTGACCACAGGACTTCCACAAACATCGAGCGACGTTGTTTCTGTCAGCTGAGAAATGCCTTCTATCTGTCTTCATCCCGTCTTTCTTCGTACCAGATGTAGTCCGGACTTCGCTACTTGCAAATCCGCTTCATAAGATCACGCTGCAGTCACTTGTCCCACGGGGACCTAGAATTTACAAACAGGGAACTTGAACCAGCCTAAAGCTTGGGCCCTACATACATAATGAGCGGCCTTCTTTTTTAGCTTGAATCGATCAGCAGTTTCAGCACGCTTGTATCATATATATACCCAGCGAAAATAGATTATCCCGCATACTCATGTTCAGTGGCGACCCGAGTTGCTCTCAGTGCGTTTCCTGCTCCCGTACTATTTGCTAGCTTCTCACCTCTGTCACTCTAGACCGTTTTGATTGCACTAGACTTTGGCAGCCATGAATTCACGAGACTATTCGTGCTGTCGACCAAATAATGTCAAATTCCTATCCTGACCCGAGCATACCTTGGCCATTTGAATTGCGAGGCATTTTATTCCTTGCGTCCGAAGAAACGGTCTTTGAAGTCGGCATCGTGGTGTGCTCGCGACACACTCTGTGAGCGTCCTTCGTACAGTCCTTGTGTAACGCGATCATTTCGCTCGCATAAATTGTTGTAGAAGAGAGGGAAATGTTTGTGGCAATCAGGCAAGTTAGACGTGAAGCCACGATTCATAGTTCCGTATATCCGAAACTCAGTTCTTCCGACTAACATCATCCCTTAGAAATTGATGCGAAAGTATGCAACAGAAGGGACTCCTTGGAACCGGAAATAATGATGTGGCGGTCCTTCTTCGCACATACTCATCGTGTGTGTCTCCCTGCTCCCACTTTCTCAAAGATCTTGATTCAGACAACCTACATCGTTTCAAGCTCCGTTTCTATTCTAGTACAAGTACTCGCCCTCGAAGAGTCATTCCTAAGGCATTAAACATTACTGACCTATTTCTGAGCTTCCTTACCTGACCAGCATGCAAACCTCATTCTTCACCAGACTCGCTGCGCTTGCTGCACTTGCCTCTGTTGTTGTTGGTCAGTAATCCTCTTCCTCGATGCTCTATTATGCTCATGTTTATTACTGGGTAACGTCTAGCAATCCCTTCTGATTGTACCCGCAAGATAACAATTAAACCTGGAGATACATGTGCCACAATCTCCGCTCAACACAAAGTCTCAACGTATGTGCTATCGTGACCCCTGACATTCATTCAACATTGAACGTATGCCACAGATACCAGCTGATGAACGTTAACACCGGCATCATTAACACCGCTTGTGATCTGCATCTCGGAGAAGTAAGATATGTTTACGTCTGAAGGACGCTTGGACTCATTTGTCATAGGAAATATGCCTTGGAATTAAGGGCAAAGACTGCACTGACGTCCACGTCGTGAAGGAGGGCGACACTGTCTACGACATTTCCCAAGCAGCTGGTATCTCGTCAACCACATTGTACGCGAACAACAAAAACGTGGACTCCAGCACCGGTTTCATAATTCCTGGCGAGGTGCGTAGAATGTGGCTTTTTGAAGCTATTGCTGATGATAAAATTTTAGGTTCTCTGCATTTCGAGCCACATTTACTATTAGATGGTGTGTCGCAAGAGTTCGTTTTCCATTGTAGTACAAGCAATTCTACACGGAATCCTTGAGTGTGTTACATATGTCCCCCCAACATATCTCACAATTGTTTTATTTTCGAAATCCAAGGAGTTCTCGTGCCATGGCCGAGGTCGAGTTTACAAACTAGTTTTGCAATACAATCCTCGCTCCAACAGTCAAATTGCCACGGAAATTCTGAAATGCACCATAATGATTCCATGCTAGTAATAGATTTATCGGGTTTGTATCATTGACATGCGAACCCTAGATGAGCGAGTCAGTGCATTTCATTTCAGGCACTTGTGTGACCACGAATTGCTCAGTGCATCCGATATTGTACCTCTTAACTTTGGATACATTTTCCTACTGAGGTGAAGTCCAAACTAGCCATCCTTGTTTCCAAGAGGGAAGCGCTGCAGTCGGCGAGAAAGCAACGAACTTGAATGCGCCTCACAACTGAATTAAAGACGACAAGGTGATCAATAAGTTTCACCGTGACCACAGTACGTCCTCACTTAACATCCACATGGTGATGCTAAAATACAGAATCGAATCTCAGTGCAAACATCGTGGCAATCGGTGCGTATACGGCGTGAAGAACCTCGAGGTTGCGGACATGTCTACCACACCGAAAATCGTTGGTAGGTGGCGATGCGGATTATTCAGATCAGAGTAGATGTTGCTGTCTATCGGCGAGAAATCCTTCGCGATCAGACTCTGCAACGAGAGGCAAGGTAAGTAGGTGCCATCCGAAGTAGTAGATTGCTGGAAGTAAGACTTTTTGGCTGCCAGTGCATCGGATATCTACACGCAGACAGGATGAACGAGGTGATAGCACTGTCAGCGAAATGCATGTTCAGTTGCCTTAAAAGAAGGTGACTGCGGGTTCCCCAGATGCTGACCGTTCGAGCAAGTTGCATGGTGTGCTAGAGTAGCACCCCGACATGAACAGGATGCAATTTATATAGCCTTGTAAGATCACTCGGAAGGTGATCGCTAAAAGCTGTGACAGAAGTTAGATGATCAAGCTTTGGTGGCGATGTTTAGGGCGCCTAATGACACATGCAGGTCGATGCCATGAAAAAAAATCTTCACGCACCCCTGCAGCTCAGAGCAAGATACACACAGTCCCTTCCGCAAGTTCAACTCGACGGTGCTCAACACCACCAAGCTCAGAATGGCGGAAGAAGCAGGTCAAAAAATCCTTCGAAGCACAAAACCCGTTCAAGTATTTAAAGATCATGAAAAAGCCATATCAGCAGTCGTAGTCTTCCCTGATAGACGGCGTATGGTGACGGGCTCATACGACAGAACACTTCAAATATGGGACTTGAAGAATGGTGTTGTCTTGAAGAGAATGGAGGGGCATCGCGGACAGGTTCATGCAGTGGCGATAACAGAAGATGGGCAATTGATAGCAAGCGGCGATCAGAGCGGTGAATTCATCGCATGGGATGGAGACACTGGCGAACATCTCACGCAACCTATCAGAGCCCATTCTGCGTCGATCAGCTCGCTAGACCTTTTCTCCTGATGGAACTGTTTTGGCTACAGGTTCATCTGACGGGACTGCGCTGTGGAACACAAAAACCTGGGAGCTACAAGGATATCCAATTGATCATGACAATGATAGCGTCCACTGCGTTCGGTATTCGCCGTCTGGTGAATATCTTGCCATCGCAACAGACAATAACATACAAATATGGAATCCAGGCACGAGGGAACGCATTGCAATCTTGTTTAATAACTTCAGTTCAGAATTGGCATTCAGCAACTCACTTACATGGACGCCTAATGGAAAACGGCTTCTGTTGGGATCTTGGGATGATCCCATCATACGGGAATAGGATCCATCAGTGATCTGGACGCATGATTCCTGGAACGGTCGTACAAATGACATCAATGCCATTGCAGTCAATCCTGCTGGCACCCTCGTCGCATCTGCATCTTATGATTTCCATGTTCGCCTCTGGAGGCTCTCGGACCGACGAATAATCGCCATATTCAAGCACTCTAGCTGTGTGAAGTGCCTTACCTTCTCCACGGATAGCAAGGCAATCTTCAGTGGAGGTGAGGATAACAAGATCTCAAAGTGGGCAATACCCAAGAACGCTTTGCCTTATGCTAAGGCATGTTCTCACCCTTGACGTGATCATATATTCTAATGTGATATGAAGACACTCCCTATAACTCCCGTTGCAGCGCTTCTCAATGCCCAAACGGTGCAATGACATCTACTGTTTCGTCTCCGACGCTCATTCTATCAATGCATAGGTCATAGACCTCAATCCTTCCTCTTACCGTGGATACCGGTTGAAGCATGCAGCCCTTCATGGTGCAGAACGCTATGACGAAGCCATCGCGACCTTCGAAATAATGCTCTCCAGTTTAGACAATGATCCCGACACGCAAATACGAAGTAAGCCTTGAATAACACATGCGTCAAACTCCTGAATTATTTCACAGATTTGCGCCAGCATTATCTCAGTACATCCGAAGCAGAGGATGCTATTCGAATGGCCATTGATGCTCAACTCGACAACGCTCCACTTCGTCTCTTCGACACCACTACCGGGCTCTTGTGCGATCAAGGGGAGCAAATAAGCATATTCAAAACGAGCGCCGAGTACAAGAAGCTTCTGTCATCCCCAATGAAGCATCTACCGTTCAGAATGGAACTGATCCAAGAAGTGGTGGTGACATACTTCGGTTGTGTCATGCTATCACATAGGTGGGAAGGGAAGGAGCCTCTCCTGCACGACATCCAGGACAGGGTGATTTACGAGTTGAATCCAATTGGCGGCATCCTGAAGTTGCAATCATTCTGCAAGATTTCTCGTGAGGCAGGGTACCGTTGGGCGTGGAGCGACACATGCTGCATCGACAAGAATAACAATGTTGAGCTCCAACAATCACTCAACTCCATGTTCGCATGGTATAGGTACTCGGCGCTTACCATCGTTTACCTGGCAGATATTACTCTTTCATCTAAGTCTGGCGCCCTGGCAACGAGTGAGTGGAATAGGCGCGGATGGACAGTCGGAGAATTCCTGGCTCCCAAAGTTGTTCTCTTTTATCAGAAGGATTGGTCCCGATATCTCAATGATCGCTCTCCCAACCACAAGGAGTCTGTTGTGATCATGCAGGAGTTGGGACGTGCCACGGGAATAGATCAACAGGCCCTTGTCTCCTTCTCTCCAGGGATGTCGCATCCCCGAGAGAAGCTCCAATGGGCGTCGACGCGTGTCACCACATTGCAGGAAGATATTGCATATTCATTGTTCGGCATCTTCGGGATCAACCTACCTGTCATCTACGGCGAGAAGAAGCACAACGCGCTCAGGCGGCTCTTGCAGGAAATCATTGCTCAATCGGGTGACATTACTGCCCTGGATTGGGTCGGAAAATCATCTTTGTTCAATACCTGTCTGCCAGCCGACATCATTCCACCCGAAGATGAGATGCAAAAATCTATCTCCTTCCTGCGAGATGCAGTGACCGTGCAGTTGGCTTCAGAATTTTACACCCTGCTTGACAAGCCGAGCCTCCCTCGTTTCGCAAACCGCAGACTGCATCTGCCTTGCATCGCATTCAACATCACAGCAGTCAGATGGAGGCGTGACCTAGGCAAAGAGACATCTTTCACGTATGCAATCAAGGCAGACGGACTTCATGACCTCCTAATCACCACGGAAGACAAGCCGAATCAGTTCTCGCGGGCGATGGACACTCGACAGACATTGTTGCTTGTCCGTCCGTGGAGCCGTTATTTCCTTGAGCTCCCTCACTCCGCAGACGATATGCAGAGCGTGGCAAATTGGTCCGCAGTCGGGTCTTCGGTGTACAAATTGCCCAGGGGCTCTCGATCGCGATCGTCTTGATTTATTCCTCGCCTTGGACAGCCTTTCGGCTCATTTTTCGATGCGCTTCGCGGGTTACCTGTAGAAAATGGGCCATTATATTCGGAGTCTTACTTGCAAGCATTGCGATTGATTGTGCGCCTTGGACAACCGTTCAGCGCACTTCTGCTCGCGCAGCAGCCCGGTGGAGAATACAAGAGAATCGCGTCAGACAGACAGATCATTGCACAGGTCGAAGATACAGCCTCTGTTCGCAGTATGATGGATTTAAGGACACTGGAGATATTGTAGGTTCCTATATGCATTGTCATGAGGAGTCATTCGCACCTGTACGATACCTGTATAGACAAATACGTACCCGGATCGTACGACTCACAACACAGTCAGACCATCTAAAGTACCTGAGTACACATATCATAATGCAGTTTGTTTATTTGTTCGGCGCGTCGGTACCGTTGATTCGTTGAAGTTCAATCACGCTATCGATTTTCAGATAATTGGATAAATCGACGTATCTAACAACCTTATGAAAGTTACAAACGATTGTTGGTGTTTGTTGACGCCTGTTAGGATCAGAGGCTGTTGACAAAGCCAAACTTTAACGTGAACAATGCGCGACTCTTCTGGGAATATCATGGTCATATTATGGCTGCCCTGAACGTGGTCCATTCTCGCTCTCAAGTTAACTTTTCGTTTCTCAAGACGCTTCACTGTGGTTAACTATTCTCTCGGAACCAAGGCAGGGCGTTCTTGAGCCATTCAGCCTATCTTCACCCTTCTAGGAATATCTTGGTCAGATTCCGTCTGCCCTCAATACGATCCATTCAACCATACTTCATCATTGTCCAAAATTTCTTGCGTTCGTGCTGTGATAGATAAGTAAAGCCATTCGATGCGTTCCCTGCTTCTGTAATCTCGACATTGGCCCGTTACTTGCCGCATCTCCCCTATCCCTTCTTTGTACTAGATCTGGCCCAATCTTTGACAGCATGAATTTACGAGGCCATACTATTCGTGCTGGGGATCATTCCAAATAACGTCAACATTCCTCCCCTATGTCGAGCATGTCTTGGCTATTCAATTCGGGAGGCATTCCGTTCCTTGCGACCGAAGAAGCTGTCATGGAGGTCAGCACTGTGGCGTGCTCGTGACACATTGTGTGGTGAGCATCCTTATGACGTCCTGCTCTAGCCCTCCTTCGTACTAGATCCGGGTCGCTACTGGCTTACTGTATGACAACATGAATTCACGAGGTCATACTATTGGTGCTGGTGACCATACCAAGTAACGTCAACATTCCTCTCTTGACTCGAGCATGCCTTCACCATTTGAATTGCGAGGCATTCCATTCCATGGGGGTCGGTATCGTAACGTGCTCGTGACACATTGTGTGGTGAGCTCCTTACGACGTGCTGCTCTAGCCCTCCTTCGTACTAGATCCAGGTTGCTACTGGCTTACTGTATGACAGGATGGATTCACTAGGCCATGCTATTGGTACTATGTAGTGATCATACCAAGTAACGTCAACATTCCTCTCGACCCGAGCATGCCTCGGCCATTCGAGACATTTCATTCCTTGCGTCCGAAGAAGCTGTCTTGGATGTCAGCATCCTGGGGTGCTCGTGACACATTGTGTGGTGAGCATCCTTCGTAAATTCCTTGTGTCACGCGATCATTCTGCTCGCATCGATTGTTACAGCAACAAAAGGGAATTGAAGTTGTGCCAATCAGGCAGTTGGACATGAAGATTTCGTAGCCCTGGATATCCTGGACTCGGTTAGTTTATCTGACTAACTTCATCCCTTAGAAATAGATCCGAAATTATATGGTATGGAACGGAACCGAGCAATGATGACGTGACGGTCCTTGTCCCACAACTCCCAGTTTCTCAAACCTGTTGATTCGGACAACCTCCCACAACGTTTCAAGCTCCGTTTTATTCTGTTAGTACAAGTACTCGTCCTTGAGTCGTTCCAAAGGCATCAAGCATCACTCGCCTGATTCTGAGCTTCCTTACCTGACCAGCATGCAAACCTCATTCTTCACCAGACTCGTTGCGCTTGCCGCCATTGCCTCAGTTGTTGCTGCCCAGAGTCAGTAATAGTCTTCTTCGACACTCTATTATGCTGATGTTTGTAACTGGGTACTGTCTAGCACCCCCTGATTGTGTCAAGACCGTAATAACTAAACTGGGAGATACATGCGACAAAATCTGCGCTGCGAACAGCGTTTCCACGTATGTGCCATCGTTATCCCGAGATTCATTTGTCATTGAGCGTATTCCACAGATACCAGCTGGAGACAGTCAACCACGATATCGTTGACGGCAAATGCGATAACCTGGTTCCCAACGAAGTAAGACATGTCTAGGTTTGAAGGACTCTTGGGCTCACGGTCATAGACTTTATGCCTTGGAATTACCGGTCAATATTGCGATGTTGTCCACGTCGTGCAGACTGGCGACATATGCTACGAGGTTGCCTATCAGGCTAATATCACGCTTACCACATTGTATGCGAACAACCCAAACATAAACTCCACCTGCGGTAACATATATCCTGGCGAGGTACATAGAATGTCGTTTATCGAAGCCATCGCTGACGATCAAATTTTAGGTTCTCTGCACTTCGAGCGTGATCTATCCTTACAACACCACAAACTAGATGGTGTGTGTCACAAGAGTTGCTGTTTCCACTCTAGCACATACAATTGTACACGGAATTCTTAAGTATGTTGCAGATGCGTTGCCCAAACATGTCCCGCAAGCCTGTACTAGTGGTTTTTTTCTTGAAGAATCAAAGTAATTGTCGTTCCATGGCTGAGTTTATGGCGTTCGATGCTAGTTATGCACATAAAATCCTCGCTCCAGCAGTCTAGATTTGCCGCCACGGAAAATAATTGTTGCCTGTCCGTCCGTCATAATATTCTGAATATTATTCGCAAGAAATACGATTATTGTACGCCTTGGACAACCGTTCACCGCATTTTCTTCCAGCGCAGCGGGGAGAATAGAAGAGATGTGTCAATCAGACATTGGATCATCATCCAAGTCAAAGACATGGCTTCCGTTCGCATTGCGGCATTATTATGGACGTTGTTAGGACACTAGAAATATTGTGTGTATGCGCACTTTTAGGAAGCGAGATCACTGATGAGTTTGCCTCTACTCCATCAACAAAAGAGCCCGAAGCATGCAAGGCCTTGTGAAGCTTACATGAGCATGTGAACTGTGATTTAGCTTTTAAGACATATGCAACTTGTACACAAGGTCTTACATTGCGACATATATATGAATATATGCTTCGGGCAGCATATACGGTTCAGGCTCTTTTGTTGATGTCAAACACTCACCTTTATACTCATATCATATGTTAGGTGGGAATTGTTGACGCGTATTAGGATTAGAGGGTGTTGACAGACAAGGCCAAATAGCTATAACTGAATTAGTCTGACTCTGTATGAGTCGGACAAAGAGTCATATTTAGAACGATTTGATCACCGTGATATCACCAGACGCCTTTTCAACACAGAGTTTTGGTCATGGTCGCTTGAGGTGCTGAGGTCCACAGGACCCTCGTACATATCGAGCATCGCCCACGCGTAACTGCGTTCTGCTGCTTTGCTTTTCAACCCATATTCGCGATGGAAACAACTGAGGAACTCCAACAACTCGAAATCACTGCATTGAAATCCATATATGATACCGACTTCTTCGAACCACCACCACCCAAGGCTTGGAAGGTCCGTTTACTCGTCTTCTTTGACTAGTTCGCAATGTGTATATCCATGTCTAGGGAGCCGCCAGATTGCCCGAGTTCATCATCAAAGTCGCCCACCCCGATCCAATCCATGCTTCCAAGGTCTACTTCCACTTGCATACAAAGTGAGATCACCCTAGTACTCGCACGCGTCGCTTTCTTAACAAATATCTCGCTAGACTACCTAAAACATATCCCACCCTTGCAACCCCCGCGTTTACTATACAGAAGCCAACACGTGGTATTAACCATGATCTTGAGACAGCTCTTCAGAAAGCCATTCACTCTGAGGCCCAGATGCTCCGGGGATCTGAAATGGTCTTCCAGGTGCGCATATACCCACTATTCATGCGATGTTCGTGCCACTCACGGCGTATTTTGTTGTGAATAGATCATCACGTCCGCTCAGGAGTGGCTGGCTGATCACGTTCATCCTGCCATCGAAGCCTCCGGCTCTCTCGCTACTGAGATGACGAAGCGTGCTTTGGAAGAAGAGAAAGTATGCCCTCCCGTCATTATCTTACTGACCTCTCTGCTGATCTCTGAATCAGGAGCGAAAGCAACGAGAGGAAGAAGAGGCAGAAAGAGAAATTGAGTTAGCAGCTCAACGCGCCGAACAACTCCAGGAGCAGATCCAGGCTGATGCGCAGAGGCATATGCTTGCCAAGGAGAGGCAGTACAAGGCAGCTCGGCGAAGGGCGCAGTCTGATGCTACCGAAGTTCCCTCTTCAGGAGACACACTCACAGAGTCTTTTCCTCACGAAATCGAATTTAGGGGAGTCCGTTTCAGCGCCGTCAAGATGTTTCACTCACGGAAAGGTTCGTTCAAGTTTTGCATTCGTAATGTATATGATATTTATCACATCGAGGAAGAGTGTCTTGGTACCACATACCTCGCAGATCCGTTATGTGACGATGTGAACGCAACACTGCCGCTCGAGGTTCACACCATCAGCTTTAACTCGGACTACTACACGTCTAGTCAAGGTCAGGTCAATGCACTTCATTCTAAAGCAGTCGGCTAATCTTCCTCAAGGAAAGAAAAAGCTACACGCAGCAGAAGCTGAGATTCAGAAACTGATCAACATTCACCATCCGAACCTCCTAAGCACTCTCGCCGTCAAGCTGAATTTTCCTTACTCAGGCGCTCCACCGCGCTTGACCATTCTCTCAGAACAACGGCCGGCGTTGACGTTGCAAGACGTTCTTGAGGATTGCGAACGTCTTCGAGAAGATCGAGCATCGGTTTGTCACAGAGTTCCTTGAGCATTATCATAACATTGAGGCTTTGACTCTTCTAGGAATATCTTGGTCAAATTCTGTCTGCCTTGAACGCAGTCCATTCAGCGGATATAGTTCACAGAGGTACGGCCCGAGTCTTCGCATATACGGTAACTCATATCGTTCTAGGTCTTGACATTTCTTGCATTTATCTTGCTACGAGAGAGAATAGAACCCACTCCAAGATGGTCAGAATTGGAAAAGTTGGTTATCACGCACGCTTGAAGGACTACCATAAGTCTAATCCGTTTGGCAACGGCATATCAAACTTGAACGAGGAGGGGTATATACGCCCCACACCTTGGTGAGGATGGTACATCAGGGCTCTGCATCATGTTAACGGCCATTCCAGGTTATCCAAAGACGTCCTCGAGTCTGTTCTATCATACACTCGGGGACGCGATATACACAGCGTTGGAGTCATTCTCATGCAAATGGTCAATGGAAGTGACGTCATGAGGCAGTTTAGTGAACCAAAGGAGGCTGTGCAAGCCGGTAATTCATACTTCGTCACTTCTCTGCTGGAGCTTACTCGGCGCTTCAGCGGCTCTGTCTCCTACTCTCCAAACATGCGCGCTAAATATGTTAGTGCATGCGAAGAAAGTATCCTGCTTGAGCCTTTTAGCGGAATTGGCATCGGCGGCGCCTCTGCAATCTCCAAGACGAATTGGAAGTCCTGCTGCAATCCCATTCGTTAGCGCCGGTAATGCTGACAGTTATTCCCGCATCTTTTATCCTTACCTCCTTCTCCAGATCTGAGGACTCCGAGAACCAACGGGTACTTTGGCTCTCCAGAGAAAGACTACTTCCGAGTTCCTCAGCGGGTTGCCCCGGCCAGTCGTTGGAAGGAAGATTGGGAGGAGCTTGAACTCTTGGTATTCAAATTCATACCATCTAACTGTTCTCTTGCTTACGCTGGTGTTCAGGGCAGAGGTGCCTTTGGGTCTGTGGTCAAGGCTCGAAACAAGATTGACAATCGAATCTATGCAGGTATGCAGCTTGAAATTCGGCAAACGGATGTCTAATGAACCTTGCCCTGGTGCTTAGTCAAAAAGATTCGATTACGATCTGACAAGGATGACAACAAGCTGTTCCGCGAAGTGAACGCGTTAAGTCGGCTTTCACATCGATTCATCGTCCGATATTACACGACGTGGGTTGAATTCAATGAGTTGAATTCGAGCATATTGTCCTCAAACTCTGACACTGGATCTGATTCTGGGACTGAGGGTGGCATGACGTCCGTGCCCGAATCATACGAGCGCGAGAAGTCTGACCCATTCAAAGTTAAGATGGAAGACTTGGATGATTATGGGTCGAACAAGACGTCTTTCCCGAGCATTCATTTTACCCGCTCCGAGATCAAGGACGATAACCAGGAAGAAGACGAAGAAGAAGACGATGACAGTGATGGGGAATTCGGCAATCTCTTTTACTCGGAGTACATCGCTGACGAAGTGGATACACCGAAGGATGCCATCCAGCCCCGGACGTTGTACATACAAATGGTAAGATCCGTAGACCTTGAGCGTCATTACTGAATCCATTTCTTCATTCAGGAATTTGTTGAGCGCCAGACACTGAAAGAGGTGTGACAGCCCGTACTTATGTCTTGCATGATTTGACTGAATACATACAGCGAGTGGCAGAGGGTTTGTCGGAAGAGGAGGCTTGGCGGCTGTTTTACCAGATCCTCGATGCCTTGGTGCACATGGGTAGCATGGGTATCGTAAGTTAAGTCTCACTTGACTTGCTCTCTGTTCTCACGTCACGCCAGCTTCACCGAGATATCAAGCTCACAAACATCTTCATTGGTGTGTATTACTCTTACATCCATGTTTCGATACCCTTACCCTTTACTCAGATGGGAAAGGAGACTGCAAAGGCAAGCTCTTTTGATGTACTCTCAAGTGCTGGACCTGACGTTATGAGCAGTCGGAGACTTTGGTTTGGCTACGTCGAGTTTAGCGGCTGTTGACCCCTCAGATCTGTCACCGTCAGTCGTCCATTCAGATTCTGAACTGACGCTCGGTTTGTCACAATCCGTCAAGCAATGATTATCGCTGACGCTCAACAGAGGTTGGAACTAAGTTGTACATAGCTCCCGAAGTCCAATCCAGGAAACGAGGACCCCGCAATCACAACAAAGCTGACATTTATAGTTTGGGGGTGAGTGGGCTTTGAGAACCCGCCGAACATGATCTCATTTTTCGTAGATCGTCTTCTTCGAGATGAACTACTCTTTTTCCACGGCATCCGAGCGTATAGCTGTGCTTGAAGATCTACGGAAGCCCGAGGTATACTTCCCTCGGGATTGGGACACTCACCGTTCTAGCCAGAAACAAAGTTGATTTAATTTTATTGACACCATTCTTACGTACTGATCCATGGTAGTTATTGCATCGCTCCTTCGGCATGACCCTGCGGAGCGTCCGAACGCCTTGGAACTCTCTCAGAGTCCTCTTCTCCCTCCCAGAGTAGAGGATGAATATTTCAAAGGAGCTCTACGGATGATGGGTATGTACATATTTCAATATTTACATGATGATCGATGGTGCTTATGCGCAAATGGTAGCTAAACCGGACTCTCCATACCATCAGGGCGTGTTGTCTGCCATGTTCAACCAGCCTGTAAACCAATCCCGAAGCTATTTGTACGACCTCGAGGCTGAAATTCCCGAGCACGCGTATCTGAACGATGTCGTCGAGGACCGAATCGCAGCCATATTTCGACTTCACGGAGCAGTCGATATGGAACCTCCGCTTTTATTACCGTCGACCAATCCTGAAGAGAGCCAGAACCATGCTACCTTCATTGATCGTCACGGGGAATTGGTTTGCTTGCCGAACAATGCGCTAGTTCCTTTTGCTCGGTTAGCTGGACGAGGTGGCCTGCGAAGAATCAAGCGATTCCATATCACGGATATCTATCGGCCGAAGTGAGTTCCTCCAAGCTTCTTCGAGATGTATTTGTAATGATCGCTTTGCCATCTATAGCTCCGCCCCAGGACATCCGAAGGCTACAAGAGCGGCGGTTCTTGACGTCATCACTCCCGACACCAAGCATGGACTCATAGCAGCTGGTGCCGAGTTCCTCATGCTTCTCAGCAATTGCTTGAACAGCTTTCCAAACCTTGCTCAGAACTACGAGATCCACATCTCCCATTCCAAGAGTATAACACTTTTTCGTACTTTTCTGACTTGCACTAACATGGAACTAGTTGCGGATCTTGCTTTGAATCGTATTCCTGAGGAGCTCCGTTCTTCGGTGATCGAAATCATCAATCAGTCCAAATCTACTGCTTCACAAAAGCGGGCGTCTCTGTTGAAGAAAGGGCTCTTGAGGAGTACGACGGATGAATTAGAAGTGCTGGCTGAAATAGGTGAACCCAAATACAGGCTTCTATGTGCATGAGCTGATCGCAGGAATAGACGAAGACATTGACGCTCTCCTATCCAAGCTGGAGAAACTTTCGCCTACCCTTGTTACGGTCATGAAGCCTGCCGTGGAGGAAATCAAGCAAACGATCCAGTTTGCCACATCTGCGGGTTTTTCTTCCCCAGTCTTCTTCCATCCCTTGATGTGGGGCGCTCATCACATGCATTTCAAGGAAGGAGTGCGCATCGAAGTGGTTAGACGAACTAGACGGCTGGACGTTCTCGCTGCAGCTGGACGGTATGGAATTCAAGGTTGAATCTGACTTTGCTTGACGCTGCGATAGATATGACAATCTCATCGCCCAGTATTCTAAACCGAAACCTAGGTTTGATCCTATTTGCGCATTCGCCGTACAAATCGCCCTGGAGAAGATCACAGTTGTCTTAGCGGCCTTCCAGAGCACCTCCGTCAAAGCACTCGTTAAGGAACAACGCTCGTTCGGTTTCTGGAGCCCTCGGAGATGCGACGTATACATTCTTTCATATCAAACGGGCTACTTGCAGGACCGTCTGGAAGTGGCTTCTTTGCTGTGGCAAAACAATATCAGCGCCGATATCATGTATGATGCCAACCTCCTGGAATTTGAACATGAGAGTCATGTCGACCTATGCGCACGTGAAGGGATATTGTATGTTCACACTAGAATCGCCGAAATCCTTTACGTTGACGTCTGGTATCAGATTTGCCATCTATCCTCGACCCCGCACCGTGCGCCGCGAGCAGGCTGCTTTCAAGGTGAAGAGCATCTTGAAGAACACAGAGTATGAAGGTATGAATCTTCTGAACTCTTACCTCTTCGGGGCTGATCGGAGGGCAGTTTCACGCCAAGATCTTGTCGGCTGGCTTCAACACCAGATTGCTGAGCAAAAACGCATAGACTTGGCTACCTCAGGTTCCTCTGCCTACCCTGACGCTCTTCCCGTTCCTGTGCCATCCAAGGACTCATCCGCCTCTGAAGTACAGCTGATTCTACCCGTCGATACAAAGAAGCAGAGAAAGCATGTCAAACAAATCCTTCTCGATCGAGGTGACGCCAAGGACGAGTGCTCTATTTCAAATTTACTGACGCATGTTTAGCGTACGAAAGGGCCGAGCACCTTAAAATGGCGGTGCAAAATGGGTTGCCGACGCTCGCTGTTGATGTTCCAAACACGGTCTTTGATACCCTGTCGAAGAATGCCACCTGGATCACCGATGAAGAGGCTTGGAAGGGTATTACAACGTCGATGCCTACTGTCCACATGACATACGCCCAGCAAATTCGCGAAGCAGCTGCTAAGCGAAAGGCTGAAGGATTGCCATATTTGCTGTTGTATGCTACACGAGAGGAGCGCATGCAAATTCTTACTCTCAATTAGGTCTGTTGTGACAGTTTCCCGTTTGCTTTACTTTATGATGCCCACTATCCATGGATATTTGCAGTCATAAATTTGTATTCTCGTACAAGGACCCCGGTGTTATTACATAAAATCCCAGATTTCGCATATAGTATAGCTGAATGCTGCAAGACCCAGTCGGTCCTTCCTACGTGCTCCAAGCCGTGAAAGTCTCTTGGAACCCATCAGCATTGTCGCTCGAGTGGATGACCCCATTCTGTGACACGCTGAGTTGGTAAGTAGTGCCTATGGTCGACACACTGTATGCGGTGACGCTCGACGCCGAATCGACGTTGAAGATTTGCGCTTGGCAAGTGTTAGTGCTCAAACAGTCTTGGCTATAATTCTGAATGATTCATCACTTAGCATAAGCAGCGAAAGGGCAGACAAAACAATCCACTCACATTGAAGAAGCTGTACAAGCCCGCTCCTGCACGTATGATTAATGGTGCGCAAAAGGTGACAAAGTGAAAAGTGTATACCAAATATGATGATGTTGCTTGAAGACTGGATGTATATTCCCCAGGCCATGTCGATCGAGCTCGAAAAGGTGGGGTCGTTGTAAGATGAGACAGTGCTAAAAGGTGCTGGCGCAGCCGGAGAGGGTTGGTAATATGGCTGAGGCGGCATCAGCTGGAAGTAAACCCAATGCGAAGATCAGTCCATACCGTTTCAGTCTGGGCGAAGCCAATGTAATGGTTCTGAGCGTTTACCAGGCTATACTGGTACAGCGCAGCGTGTTCGGCTATTACATTGATAAGCACTGTGATGGTGTCCCAGTCTGGTGATCACTCACAAGCTAGGGCAAGTTGTCAGGGGAAAATCACGAGAGTCATAAGGGTCACGTACATGTACCAATAAGCCACACGGGGCCATGAGACTCGGAGAGAATCCCACGACCAGTAAAGATCGAGATTTGAGTGGAGCCAGAAGAATCAAGGTCGTGGTCGGCAGTCCAGACCCACGTGCCCTACGTGACAATATCAAATTAGACGAGTTTTGGGACTTATAATCTCCATACCTCAAGATATGCGCTCGATCCAGAAGTCAAGTGTATCCCGAGGAAAGCAGCCTGACAGGAAGCGCTGATAGAGCCTGTGGGACATTGGGAAGACTGCATGTTTGTACCCGCAGCTGATGAGAAAGAATCAGAATGCTTCTCCATGGACACATCGAAAGATTTACCTCCACCCAACCTTGTGCAGTCGTCGTTAATACATCTCAAATTCATGAGAGAACAAAGACTAACCTAATATGGCTGTCCCACATCCCTGCAGCCCCTTGCTGACCAGATGGATCGTGCACGTTCCACTCAATCATTATGGCACCGGGAGCTGTTGGATATTAGCTTCATGAGTAAGAGGGACTGTCTCTACGCGTACCAGGGCCAGCAGTAGTGAAGAGCATATCGCTTATCTCCAGGACACCTTGAGAATTAGCTGCGCCGGCTTGAATAACGGCACGAGGGTTGTTCTGATCGCTGAAAGCACTCCCACCAGCCATGATGACTGACCAGGCTTCACCGACGATCTGTGTTCCGGCAGGGATTTGGATGGTATTGGTCACATAATACGTGCCGGCATCGAAGAAGATGATCTTGCATCCAGTGTACTGAAAAGAGTCGTGACTTTGTTTCAGCAGAAGGCGACAGTACGCACCTCATTAAGGACGTTTTGAATAGCAGCGGTATCATCTGTGTGGCCATCACCTTTCGCCCCCTGACTCTTGACGCTGATGAATTGACTGACAGCGTAGTTCGCATACTGAGGATGAGTCTTCCCGAAGATTCGACCAGCACTGTTCAAAAGGCTGGATGGCTTGTTCGCAGAGACGATGTTTCCTTGTGTAAAAGTCTTGGATCCACTGGTTCCCGAATATACATTTCCTTGACCCCAAGAAGCAATCGTCTTCGTGCCACCAGCAAGTACTGTAGTTCCGCCTACAACGCCGACGGCGGTAGGAACATTGTTCAGCTGGATATTGTTGAGAACGAGCGAGCCGGCCAGTTGACCTTTGCTCGCTACCGAAGAGCGAACGAATATGGGGGTATTGGTCACAACCGCATCAATGATAGCCTCTGAACCAACGGTCTAGACAGCATTCAGCTACTTGCAAATACAAAATTTATGATGAGCCAACCTGATTACTAGTTGTTGTTCCACCGGTTGTTAAATCAAAGCCGACCTGTTCTCTGTCAGTTCTCATCGAGAGGGTTGTCAAGTTCAAGACATACTTGACAATTGTTGATCGTAACCCCTTGAAATGTGAATCCTGAAACGATGTAAGCCATGTGCAAACCTCCAAAAAAATCGAATATTACCCCAATTCCAGATGCCAGAGACAGCTACCGGTAGAAATGAATATTTAGTGCATGGTGGCTTATTCATGGACGAGAGGACGAACCAGTGGCAGCATTGTTTACTGTTAAATTACGAACCGTAAACTGCTGGTTACCGACTTGAATCCCGTACATTCCTAATAAAACGTCACAAAAGGAACAAATAAAGCTGTTGCAGGGATCTAGATCTACCTCCGTTGAATACGATGTCTGACGGCGCGGAGTCAGTGATCTTATTCTCATATCAAGGTAGAATGCTCACCTCCCATAAATCCACCACTGGTAACGCCATGTTGAGAACTAAAATTGATAACCAAAAGGGCGAGTTTCTCACCTTCCATTCTCCATGAAAATGCCTTGATGCTTGTTGTTGGAAGCGGTGGACATCTCGACCACGATATTGATGAGCGAGGTGGCTTGCGCAACCTGCCAGTGCAAACCGATTGCAGAAGTCGATGCAGGCATTTGCCTAAGGTCGATGATCAAGTTGCGAACAGAGCGATAGCTACAAGTCCATAAGCTATAGTGCACCGGGTGCAGAAAAAAAATCGCGTACAAATTGTTCTGGTTAGTGAACCACTGAGCGCCCCAACCATTTGGAATATAAGGATCGGCATCTGGGTAAAATCTAGGTAAGACAGCGCCAACCTTAAAATGACAGGTAAAGTACCGATGACTGCAAATCCATTGAATGATGAGCTGGCAAGAAGAGTTGGAGGATTCTTCGCATCTCCGATCATCTGAGTGTAATAGTATGTGTTGATTGCCGAAGAGACGACGTAAGTGCTGAGTAGTGGTAAACATGCAATCTCATTATATGAATGAAGTGGCATACCCTGCAGGGAAATACACGATGGCCGGAGTAACGCTACGAGTACGATTAGTTGACGTATTCACAGAGACGCGTGACGCTCTGCACTGACGTGGAGGAATCACAAGATCCACCTCCGCAACGTCCACCAGATGACATCGCCGAGCTAGAAAATCGGTAAGTTTACACTCGGGTACGAGAACAATGACATGCTTGATGGCAGCAGTGTCATCGGTGACACCATCGCCCTTGGCCCCAAAATTCTTGACATTTCTGAAAACTTGGTAAGAACTCGGGTCCGAGTTGAAGGCCGAAGTTCCTTGGTGCTTGATAGTCTCAAGCCAATACGGATCACTTGGAGCTGCTGTTCCACCACCCAATGGCGCTGAGCAGGATGTGCCCAACCCAGAGACAAGAGAAGATAATGCTAAGAGTGCACTGAAGAGGAGAGACTTTGAGTAACGCGACATTGCCTCCTCCGAGTGAGAAAAGCTAAAGTAATAATGGGCACAAACCTATACACAGACGGCACCTTTTATACTGTTCAGTGCAATGAAAAAGACGACTAACAGAATTGAGCGACCTCTTGATTGGCAGTGTCCCAAGAGCGGACAGGAGAGTCACGAAGTCATTGAATAACCCCATGATACACAGTTCTGAACGGGACGCTTTCATTTTGGGGAATCGTCCCATATGAAAGCAAAGCTTGTATCATGAGGTGCCACGGAACTACAGATCATCTATGTAGGTGGTTTCTCCTAACAAATGGAATGTGCATGTCGAGACAGTCGGAATGGACTCACCCGGCGCAACCTTCATCGTGCAATTCAGTGTCTTCTGCGTGATGAGCAGATTGCCAGGCATGCATTCTTGCTTCAAGTACAACAGCTCGTCCTGGATGATTTGGCTATCAAATCTGTCGTGCTACTAGAAAGAAGGGCGCGGCGTAGTTGTAACCTTCTGGGTCATCCGCTAGCAAGTTAGTACGCACCTGATAAAGAGAAAAGGGGAAGAGTGTGTTTCATCCCACTTCACGAACGACCAAAATGGTAATCACTCTTTTATATAATTAGGAACTCCGCAATCCTCTCATTAGGAAAAGTCTTGATCAACACTCGAACGAGAACCATCACAATTCACGCCCCAGTAGGCCCCGGTGGGCCTGGATAGTCTTTGATGGTCTTTCGCTCCGAAAGAGCTTTCCGTGAGCGTCTAAGACTGCCCGCCCCTGCACTTGGTGCTTGGTATTCATTTATGTGCTGGCATCTGCGATGAATGCGACAATCAATGCACCCAGGCAGTATGGTAGGTCTTGTGATGTGAGTGCCGAGAAATCTTACCGTTGCAGATCAAGTTAGGGCTTCCTGACAATTAACTGAATTGTTCATCTATGGGAATAGCCCGGGCAATATATATACTGGATGAACTCACAAACGCTTGTAGAATCGCGGGTTACTGTATACGAGACTCGCCCTGATACTGTCCCTGCTAATTAAAGCCATAGAAGGAAGGGTCGGATCTTTGCAGAGATTCATGAGTCTAGGCTGCAGCAATAACTCTTTTCAGTATTTACACGCTCGGCCTTGGCACCGTACGTGCAACCTCAAGCGGTGAGCAACTTGCAGTTGGTGAATGAGCCACGAGTCTCCTTCCCACTGAATGATCACGACCTTCATGGAAATCAGGAGACTGCACGTGATTGTGTGGATGCCCACAATGCCAAGCACGCAGTATTTGCCCGGCGCGCAGAGCGGGGTTGTCTATAACCAGTTCAGGAGGACAAATTGGGATTGCTTCCCTGCACGACAAAACCCCCCTATCGAAGGTGAGTTTCTTAGAAGGCCCTGTCAGCATTTCTCGCGTCCAAGTTCCACGTGAATGTATGCACGGAACGGACCACAGTAGACGGTTCCGACAAGACATCAAATACAATTGGCCTCAAAAGGTGATGTACATATCTAGGATTGCCCCATTACTTCTTCCAAATACCCCACATCAAACCTGGGGGAAAATTTGACCGAAAATGGCTTGGGGTGTGCAATTACATTGTCTTCGAACGCCCACCTATCTATGGGCGCATCCTTGGGTTCTGAGATTCGAAAAGTCCAGAACAAATGTGCAAGCGTGATCAACATAGAGTCAGTTCGCTAGATATCGTCCAAGGCAGACACTAATTTACCTGTTAGTTCCATCCGCCTTATTATAATAATCACCTAACTGACCGCCTGCCAAAGCCAAATGGGAAAGACTTGAGATCGGGGCGAATGTGACCGCAGCAGGTCAATCCATCTCTGGGGATCAAATTTTTCGGGGTCAGGAAAAGGCAGCTTGCGTCATGAGAGATAGGCCCTGTGGCGTGCAACATGGACCGATAAGTGAAGTGTTAATTTCGGGGGGACAGGTCAGTAGTCGCACCAGTGGCAGCCGTAGACAGTTGCGCCGGCAGGAATCCGGAACCCTCTCTGCATGTACAGATATTAGTCTGAGACTCCAATTGTAAGAACATCATATTCACACACCCATATTATATCCCTCGTGGCACGATGAGGGGAACCCTATACTGATCGTTAATGGTGGCTGACAACAAAGGAAGATAATATACCGAGCGGGACGACGGGCCTCCAGCCGTAACGTTTCATGCATAAATGCTTGCAGCTGAGTAAGATGTTGGATATCTTTGAAAGATGGGGCTACGAATAAGGAATTGAGCTTAACCCAATCCCGAATTTAAAGCGTAAAATGCAAGACATACCCCGTTCCCTACCTACGACTGCATCTAGTTGCTCTTTGCACGCGCGCTTGTGCCTCAGGATAGCAAGCCGCAGCCATAATAGCCGTGGTGATCGCTGCAGCAATCTACATGTGATTCGTGAACTGTTAGTAAGTAATCCCGCTCACCAAACCAAGACGTTAATTATTCACGTTGTCAGCAGCCGCGCCAAAAATGGTCCCTCCCAAGAAAGACATTTCATCTTTCGATAGCTGATGCTGATGTTGCTCGAGAAGTGTTCGCATGAAAGACGGACCAGCGATACCACTTGCCTGAAGGTGATATGAGCACAAGACATACATCACAAGAGAAACACGAGTCACTATTTCATTTTTTACCCGCTCCATCTGCCCTAGTCCTAGTTCATGCTCCTCACGAAACCAGGTCTTCAACTGACGTCCGTACCAAGGCACGTACCGCAGAATGGGAATGCGATCAACCAAAAAAGCACCGGGTTGCATAACAAGTCCAAAACGTTCGAGCACGAGGTTCATCCCTATCACCTCAGGATCTGTGTTCGCGGTCGGCGTTGACTTCCCATAGGTGATGCGCAGGATGACCGAATGTGCAAATCTAAATTATTATAGTTTGATAACCGGAAGAGTTATGCTAATCACCCACCGTTTCGCATGTTCCTGGTGTTCATCTGGCGCCCTTAAAATATCATGCATGAGCCGTTTCGCGTCCTCTACTTGTATGTCTCGGTACGCTTCCACTGCCTTTGGTTGTAATTGTAGACCCGCCGCTTTGCGGAACCGACGAAACCGTGACCCGACACCAATAAGAACGAGGCGCATATTTTGGGATAACATTTCGTCAGCAGCTATGGCATGCGGGCGATCGACGAGAGCGCTCCCTTCTTTCTCCATGATATCGTTGGCAGCCTAGAGGTCCGTTCGTCCTCGCGAAGCGCAATGTTAAGTAACTGATCGCGTACCTCTACACTTCCAATGATGACCGAGACTTGATTTCCCTGACGTACAGAGACGACTGGACCATATTCTTGCATCCATTGGGTAACTGTCAAGGCAACGCTGGACCAGAATTATTTACAAAATTAGGAAGCACGAATGCAACTGACTTGTTCGATGGCATAGCACTATTCCAAAACCAGCTCGGTGGAGGCCCCGGGGGGAGTGGGAGTGCATCCTTGGCGAAAAGTCTTCCTCTGCAGTACTCTCCGAGTACGACAACAATTGCTACTCCTGCGAGAATCCGGGTAGATGAAAACGAGAACGACTCGGGCTGGTCGAACATCACGATCAGTAGGTACTGATAGTCAGTCACAGTTAGAGTGAAAGCTTCATCGAACCATCAAATTTGTCTCGCGTAGGAACGCTTACTCGGGTCTGCGTCCCACCGTGCACGTAAGTAGGACGTATATGAAGGGCAGCCGCCTCATTATGGACATGGCTGCCCTGACCTGGTCTTTATTGGCATTACATTGCCGTATTCAGAAGAGTTGGCCGGTCAATTCACGATACGGTAACCCGGAACAAGGTACATTTATGCTTTAAGAAAGATCGTGGCAGTGATCAAGGGAAATGGTTACTACTGAGGGGGTCTTTCAAAATGGTCTTCGGGTGCAAACATACGCAAGTTGGTCATACTGCACTTATCAGTGCATCACTTCAAAGCCATCATGATGACCGCGACCAAGCATGTGACAGTGTGACTGCCATTCAGTGTTACCCTCGTTCACCTCGGATATCATTGCTGCTACACATCTCCATAAAGACTCCTTGTTTTTGGACTTGGAATGTGGGGTGGGAAATGTGCTCGTGCAGGCGAGCCTGGAAACGTGCTGCAGAAGCTACGGAATTGAGCTTATGCCTACTCCCGCGGAGGTGGGGAGAGAGCAGCTGAGGCAAATTAAGAAGCGGTGTAGGGATGTGGGGACTTTCGATAAAAGAGGTGGAGTTAAAAGAAGGAGACATGCTGACTAGTCGGAGAGTCACTGAGTTGCTACCTCAGGCGGATGTTGTGCTGGTCAATAATAAGGTGTTCCAGCAGTCACGTCAGTGAAATTTTTTTATTTGTGCCTCAAAATATTGATCATATTACAGTACTAAACGAAGCATTACGCCCGCGGTTTCTTGATTTAAAAGAGGGCGCCATTGTTGTTTCCTTGAAGCCATTCGTTTCCTCTCTCAACGCACGCGTTACTGAACGCAACGTGAGTGACGATGCCTATCTTCATACATTTTATCTCATGTGAATTTCGCAGGTGGATGAAATAAGCGCGATCTTTGACGTCTCTGAACGATCCTACCGCTCTGGCAGCGTTTCATGGGGTAGCGGAGGTGGCTCGTATTATCTACATCGAGTCGACCGGGCAGGCTATGTGGGCCTCAAACAAAAATTTGAGAACCAGCGCGCGAGGAGTGCGCGTGCCTCACGGCGGCGACAATCTATTTAGTGCACATTTTACCTTTACACAATCTATTGGTGCCGTTAGTGTTGACCTGTCGTACGCTGGCAGTTGTGGTGTATCGTGAGGTGCTGTAAACACCTACACTGGTCCACAAGTAGTCCTGATATACTGTTCAATTTATAGTCGGAGGGGATGACGAAAAGCAACACCTTTATTTCTCTCGCCCGATGACTTAGAAACAGAGGATCTGCTAGAAATACTTTGAATGAAAGCTAAAGACATTGGAGCAACGTAAAAGAATGATATGAAAATAATCCATGCGCAATAAGAGCTAGTAGAATAAATATATCTTAGGCTCTATGAAAAGACCTCGTTATAAGAGCGGGTAAAGTACCTAGTAGAATAAATATCTAATGGTGTGTTAGCTCTGTAGAATAACGCGAAAATATGAGACTTACATCTCAGGCTCTATGAAAAGACCTGAGATGTTCTAACGACTCGGCAGGTTCTTTACTATAGTACGGATAGGATAGATAAGTAAATTGTCCGTAACATAGGGATAGACATTCCAATATTGACGAGCCTCGCCGGATTCCAACATCATGACTGAGATGGCCCCGGCGGAGCTTGGCGGCGTTCCTATATGCGCAGGTCAGGTGCTGAATCACGGAAATCATCGAGAACACACCCTTGCAAGTTTCTGCCCTTCAGATAAAACAAGGAGACAAGACCGCAAGCCTTTCAAGCACCACTGCCTTTCGAGCCAGGCGAGCAAGTGACGATCCCAGAAGAGCTTGAATAAAGTGTCGAGCCTTTTATCCCATGGACTAGGAGCTCGCGAGAGATGGAAGGCCCAATTTTGACATGCGTATTTCAGAGCGTCAGAGGCTGATCGGCTTTGTTCCTGTGCTTCTTTTGCAAAAACTGCAAACGCTGTCATAGCATAGATGACCTCTATGTCTGGTAAACGACGATCTTCTTGGAACGCATGTGTGGAGTGATCCTGGGGTTGAAATGCCAGGAATGCCGGAAAGCCCAAGAAATCCGGCAAGTTCTTGAACTGTTCGATGACTTGAAAAGCTGGCCGTAAAGGTATTTCTGGGATGATTGTGTACTCGCTGATGGCTTCCAATGTGCTCGAGAATCCATCCATTGTTACCCAGACAGATGCTGCTGGAGTCATCTGCCATGCTTGACCATGGGGCGTCTGTAGCCACTCTCGCCCGCTCTGTGTTCGCAGCCACTCTCTCCCTTGCCATGTCTGTAGCCACTCTCGCCCGCTGCTTTTTTCCAGCCACTCTTGCGCACTCGGGGTCCGCAGCCAGTCTTGCCCTGCTGGAGTACTATGCAGCCACTCTCCCCCACTCTGGGTCTGCAGCCACTCTCCCCCACACTGGGTCTGCAGCCACGTCTGCAGCCACCGTCGTCCTCCCTCGGTCTGCAGCCACTGTTGCCCTCCATAGGTCTGCAGCCACTGTTGCCATCCCTCGGTCTCCAGCCACCGTTGCCCTCCCTCGGTCTCCAGCCACTGTTGCCCTCCCTCGGTCTCCAGCCACCGTTGCCCTCCCTCGGTCTCCAGCCACTGTCGCCCTCCCTCGGTCTCCAGCCACCGTTGCCCTTCCTCGGTCTCCAGCCACTGTTGCCCTCCCTCGGTCTCCAGCCACCATCGCCCTCTATAGGTCTCCAGCCACTGTTGCCCTCTATAGGTCTCCAGCCACCGTTGCCCTCTATAGGTCTCCAGCCACCGTTGCCCTCCCTCGGTCTCCAGCCACTGTCGCCCTCCCTCTGTCTCCAGCCACTGTTGCCCTCCCTCGGTCTCCAGCCACTGTCGCCCTCCCTCGGTCCACAGCCACCGTCGCCCTCCCTCTGTCTCCGGCCACCGTCGCCCTCCCTCTGTCTCCGGCCACCGTTGACCTCCCTCGGTCTCCGGCCACCGTTGACCTCCCTCGGTCTGCAGCCACCGTTGACCTCCCTCGGTCTGCAGCCACCGTCGCCCTCCCTCGGTCTGCATCCACCGTTGCCCTCCCTCGGTCTGCAGCCACCGTCGCCCTCCATAGGTCTGCAGCCACCGTCGCCCTCCCTCGGTCTGCAGCCACTGTTGCCCTCCCTCGGTCTGCAGCCACCGTTGCCCTCTGTAGGTCTGCAGCCACCGTTGCCCTCCATAGGTCTCCAGCCACTGTTGCCCTCCCTCGGTCCACAACCACCATCGCCCTCCCTCGGTCTCCAGCCACTGATGCCCTCTGTAGGTCTCCAGCCACCCTTGCCCTCCGTAGGTTTCCAGCCACTCTCGCGCTTCGTCGGTCTTCAGCCCCTGTTGCCATCCGTAGGTGTCCAGCAACTCTCGCTCGCTCTGGGTGTCTAGCCATTTTGGCTTGCTAGAGCGTCCAGCAACATGTCGCCATTCCTGAGGCCATATCCTACCCTTGTGCCACTCACTCGCGCTCTCGGACTGCAGCCATGTGTTCCCCGCGTGCGTTTTCAGCCAGTTCACCCCCTTGTGAGTGTACAGCCAGTCCCCCCCCTCCTCTGTCCGCAACCAATCATCCCCTCCTTGGGTCTGCAGCCATGCACATCCATCCGGGGTTTCTAGCCAGGACTGCGAACCCGGACCGCGAACTCCCCGGAGCCATAGCAGACCTGTAAGAACGTGCAGTGGTTCTGGTGGCTCGACGATAAAGGCTAATGATCGTTGTAAGCTCTGGGGGTCGTGGGTTTGTATAGTTTGGCTGTGCTCTGTCAATTTTAAGAGCGCATCGAGGAGGGCTGTGCTTTCCCGAATTTTCTTCACCATCAAATGGAGAGAGGAATGAACGAGTAGCGAATGGGGTGATGGAATATCGCGTACTTGGGGGAGGCTGCAGTTAGAGGGGTCGGAAACATAGTCACGGATGGACGAATGATATATATTCACGGGGAGATTGCTGTTTGTAGGAATATCCATGACAGAACGTAGCTGCATTAGTGTTGTCTCGACGTCACTGCCCTGACCAGGGCCAAGGAGTTTAGAAATTTGTGAGATCGGCATAGGGTCAACCAGGGCAGCAACAACAGATAAGTGCAGATATGCCTGCTTGGAGTTGGCACATGTGGAAAGGATAGCATCGTATAACTTGTACACCTCCGTTCCTGGTAGCAGTTTGCTCGTTAGCTCGAGCATGAGCTCGAGTTGGTCACTGGGATCATTATCTCTATCATCAATAAACATCATTATCGTAGTCGCCACGATGAAACGTCTGCCTGCTCTGCTTGCCAGGCATGCAAGCTCATCCGCGGAGGGCTGCGGGAAATCGGGATGACGACTTTGCAGGTCTCTGAAGGAATGCTGCAAGAAAATATAGATGTCGTTGTCAACATCTGCGCCGTCTAATGAGATGGTCCTAAAAACGCCCTCCCCAGAAGTGTTCACCGGTATCTCGCACACCAGCGAGCGCATCTCGTCGTTTTGAATGGCTTTACGGATACGCTCTTCCAAGCGACTCGTGAGCAGAATGTGGATCACGGGAAGATCAGGATCACGAAGAGCTTGGCCAAGCAGGGAGATCAGCTCAGCGACGGTTTCGGGTTTACATTCATCAAGGGCATCGATAACAAACATCGGAGGCATACACTCGCGCAGTCTCCATTGAAGGTTCGAGAGAGGTTGACGAAATAACGCCTTCATCTGACCGTGAAGACACTTGCTGGGGTCTAAAACTGCAGGATTCGTGCGGATAGCTCCATTGATGTGCGTCTTGACGCTGGGAAAATTGCTCGCAAGCTGGTAGGCAAGCGTCGCAAAGAAATGACCAGTCGTGCTGCGCTGTGTGTGCTTGCGAGAGAAAAAGAACGTTCCCGCAAGTCTTGTTTCGATCTTCGTCTTCTCTGTCACTTTCAGAGATCTCATCCTTTCAGCTACAGTGAACGCAACAGCAGACTTCCCGACGCCTGCCGTGCCGTGCAGCCAAATGATTTGACTCTTCTCTCGGTTGTCTAACAATCCGTAGATGTAGTCGAGAAGGTCCACCCGGGTCCCTTCCAAACATTTTGGATGTGGCTGGCGTTCAGGGGAGTCAAATTCAGCACCCGGGACAGCTTCTCCCAAGGCCCTTCAGACGATCGAGGAACTGTTAATAATGAGGTCAGACCGCGAGAGGAGATAAGAGAAGGAGATACTGACACTGATCCTGGTCACTCATCGACGATAAAACGTGACTGCAATCGTCGGGAAAATACTAGCTCTGTTCGACAGTGTGTCAGTTGGATATCTTATAGGCGACGGCTATCACGAAGGACGTACGCTTGATTGAAGAATCAAAGTCTAAGCTGTAACTTCAATGAAGCTATGTTTGGGCGTCAGGCTGTCCAGTCAGTGTGTTCAGCGGTATTAGGCTAGGTAGCTCGGAAACGATCAAGCTGTGGAGTAATAGTAATGTTTCAAGCCCGCTTGGATTGAATGGATGGATGTTCGATTCAGTTGTAGGACTGTGATCAGCTCGTTGAATGGTAGTGGAATGCAGCTGAAAAACGAGCGGGCGCTTACCTACAAATTATTACACAGCAAACATCTCGCCATCAATGAACTCGTTAAAATAGAAATCACTTGCTGCCTCATATGCGTTTCCACTTCTCAACCTCGTATCTACTGATTGTCCCATCTTCGGTACCATATGACACGGTCGTACAATTTCGTCGACGTGGATCACAGTAGCATGGCGGCGGAGTTGGCGTGTCCAGCGAGAGACTTGTGGGTCTTTCAAAATGGTCTTCAGGTTACACTCTTTGCATAAAGGATGGCAGTGGCGTGAAATTTTCGTTCAATTAGGAAATGTTGGACTTGGTGAAAATTTGCTCGTGTAGCCTTGTACTACCTGTATTATCATCTTCACAACATGAGATTTCGCAAGATCAGTCGTGACGTGAAACTTGCAGCAATCCGATTCCATGAACGGAACCTTCTGAGCCTTTGCGACATCCTAGATTCCTGCGGATTTTCCGAACGCACTTGGTTTCGGATTTTGAGGCTCTGGCGCCAAACCGGCGATGTCGTGAACCGTCAGCCTAGCACAGCAAGGCGTGGTCGTCTGCGTGCTCTCGATCGTGAAGATATTGATTGCCTGCTTTGTCTTGTAAGGCAGAATCCTGACAGCTCACGCACCTCCTCGCAACAAACTAATTCATATCTGTCCATTTCACGACAATCTTCCGCAAGCTCAAACGTGCTGATGTGAGCTACAAGAAACTCAAGGTGGTGTAAGGATCTTTGTGGGCTGGGACTGCTCAGGCTCGTTATCTTCGCCGTCAGAGTCAGAGTCAGGTTCCTCTTCATCCGAAAGTTCTTTGATTCGAGTATCGTCCTCATCGGAGCCATTGGAATCAAGGTCACTGTCATGCTCTAGCAGGCTCTTGTTTTTTAGAGGCAGGAATAGTTATAAATGGCATGATGATAATGAATTACAAGGAATATGAGTGTACGATGAGCAAAATTTCACCAAGTCCAACATTTCCTAATTGAACGAAAATTTCACGCCACTGCCATCCCTACTATCTCTGGCCCAGAGTTGCAAAACTTTTCGATGTTCGCGTGATAGCTCAACAACAACACAACATTTAAAACCGGCGACAACAGGGGGACATAGGATTCAGTCCAGGCTTCAGCGCTATGTAAAACACATTTGCAAATTTTGTTGAGGCTACGTTGCCAGAGAGAAGCCGGCGTGAACGGTGTTTGAACACAGAGTTGCAAAATTTCTCACCTGCATAGAATTGATCATGTCACACTGTGTCACACTGCCGTTTTTACTCTCCGACGCCATCAAGTGTTGATCGAATGAAGTAGGGCGTTGGATGCCGAGCGGAGCTTGATGACTCCGACCACCAAATCACTCCTCCTGTCACGCCCTGTGTCTCGACAGTACAATATTTGTGTCGCACAACACAGCTCGGTTTTTGTGTCGGAAAAAATTAGAGCAGTGTTAGAAGGTAATGAGGAATCATGCGTAAAATTCCTGATTTTTTTTGGTCGATGCGATGGCTTCCCTGTGATGGATTGGCGTGGAAAGTACACTTTCTGAGCAGTGTTTTACTCCCGCAAGCACTTCTCGTCCATTTTTTGTGAAATAAAAAATACAGACAGTGAGCTATGCATTGGTCATCCTTCAGAATCATTGTGCAAAGAAAATGAGCGAAAGATGAGTGTGCTACATCGCATTTTGCAACTCCGGGCCGTTTTGCAACTCTGGGCCAAAGATAGTATGCAAAGAGCTGTAAATGTTTCAAAATTCACTGATCTGATCAGCTTCTACGCCCTTCCACATGGCTTGGAAAAATCCGGAAATAATTTCTCGTATGCTTAATTAGATACAGATTGAAGGTGACGAGAGCACCAAGTAAAGTATTTGTGTCATTCAACGGCACTCCACGAACTATAACTATCAGTACATCACTTCAAAGCCATCATGATGACCACGACCAAGCATGCCGTGTGACAGTGTGACTGAGTTTGAAAGACTCTACTTTGAAGTTCTAGCTCGTTCGCATGGCATTGACCAATAACACGGGTCAATTTCATGATCTGGGATACTGCAGTTTGGTTAGGTGATGCGAGTCAGTGCTGCACTACAATGAGAGGTAACTTTTCTGAGGGAGGTCTGTACTATAGACTTGACTGATTGCTCCCGCTCGCAGGTCGTCTGACATGAGGGCTCCGCCCTCCCCCCACTAGATATCATTCCTAGAAGCAAAACCACCCTTGTTGCATTGGCCGAGTCCTCGCGTGTTCTTCGCTCTCACAGGGAGGCTCTTGCATTCGCCGAGTCCTCACGCATCCGAGTTATAGGCCCACACCCCGCCGTTTTCCTG